CTGCGTGCGTTGAAACGCGGGTCTGGGTTCGGCAGTTGTACCCATACCTGGCAAGAAAACATCAGTCGGACGCGTCACCACCGCAGACGCACGGACCAGCAGTTCTCCGGAGGATTCCAGCCACTCTCGATCTTCTTGTTCAGCAACCAGCGCCAGGCATTGCCCTTCAGGAATTTGGCTATACAGTCTTTACAATATGAATCGTCCGGAGTCCAAGTTGCCCATTCCGAGTTCGCGTCCGTCGGTCGAGCGTCGAAGACCCCCAGGATCCATGATTCAAACCAGTTCGAAGTATTCTGCCTTTCCACATCGAGCTGGTCAATCGTGTTCCAAAGAGAGATGTTACGAGCAAGATTGCCTGGCCAGAAACTGGTAGTTTTGCACGGAAAGCGACCCCAGTCTGGCGTTTTACAGTCAATCAAAGTACGAAGGGCCATTCGGACAAGGAACGGACTTGCGGAACTCAAAAGCTGCAGCCCCCCTACCATGGAGCATTGAGAGCCTGAGGCAGTGAGAAGAGTCGATGTCCCAAGAGTCGAAAACAGGCGTACATGTATCATTCGCGCCGTTCACGGTGTCCAAGACCCATTTGGAAGGAGAATCGTCTTCTTTGGGTGCCTGGACCTTCCGAACGGACCATATCTTCTGCAGAGGCGCGTCATAGAACCCTGAAAATAACGGAGGCTCCTCGTCCATTTCCGAAAAGTCATCGACGTCCATCTCACAAAGAACGCCATACGGATTGCGAGTGTCCCATGCCTGAACGACGGCTTCTGGTCCCAAAGTCAGCAGGTGCATCATTGCAACATCTATGATCGGCTGATCAACACTGGGCGTGGAGATCTCAACAAGATACTCGACGCACCTGTACTCTCCTCCCTGATGCCGAGCTCCAAGTATATGTGCCGCATGTACTCGGTGACAGACCAAATCTCCAGCAACTCGTCTGTGGGGAATCGCATGAAGAATGCGGTCCGCTGTTTCACAAAGTCCATCACTTCATCGGCCTCCATGTCCAGGATATCATTCACATCCCATCCTCTTGAGGTGAAGATCTCCGAGTACAGCAAGATACGATACGCGGCGCGCCGGAACCTTTGAGATTCTTCAGGAGTGAGCACACTGGTCCTTGAGTTTCGGTCCTTAAATCTACAAAAGCTTGGGGATGGATGGATGAGGGTTGCGTGATGAAGCAACACACCTGAAGCTGTAGATGTTCTCGAACCTAGCGATCATCTCCGCATTATCCTGGAGCAGGTTCTTCTCTTCGCAGGTAATCACACTCGGCTCGTGGTCTTCCGGGCACGTGTCCGCAAGTTCATCCGGGTTGGCATCGCGCTGCCGCGCCCATTCGCTTGTCGGGAACCTAAGCACGCGGAGAGCCTGCGGCAGAGCGGGGCCGACGACATTATAGGCAACGCATCGAGTGATAGACTGCAAATCTGTCAGCCTGTGTCTGGGACACCGCACCCAGAGTCCACCACACCCGCGGATGAGATTCGTAGACGGCGAAGAAGGCTTTCGACACAAGGATCAGGCTTTGGAGCGTTCGAAAGTCGGGGCAGAATGTCATGAGAGAGTGGACGATGTCATCATCAAGTGGTAGTGAGCTCAGCGCGCGCATTTCTCCTAGAGTGTGTGAGGGCTGAGAGAACGATGCGGGCGCCTGCCCGAGAGAGGCTGTGCATGACCCTCATGATCGCTTGTCACATGGCTACTCGAGTGCATGACACACAGCAGGCTCGGACAGCATCACCAGGAGCTATTAACATGAAGTGCAAGTATTCCTGCACTTAGAACTGCCAGATACAATGTAAGCCGTGAGATCAGATATGTTGGATTCAGCTAAAGTGAGAACAAAGAATCAAATCACGTGATTATCGCGTGACTTGACGCGACGCGTCGCCATCGTATCGTGACGAGGGGTAAGCAAATATGATGCTTGATTGCTAGTATTACATAGAAACTGCATACAAATTTCGATTTCTCAAGGTGCCATCATACCCAGGTTGACGTGCACACTCTTGACCTGGGTGTAGCTGATTCATCAACGTGTCGTCAGCGCAAAAGATAACGATGCACAGCGCAGAAGCTTACGTCTCGAGAGCACCTTCTCCGTGCTCACGGCCGATTCCGGACTCCTTGAATCCGCCGAAAGGAATTGCGGCATCGGTCATCTGGGGCATGTTGATGAAGGCAGAGCCGGCCTCGAGCTGGTGTGCGACGCGCAGAGCACGCTTGATGTTTTCAGAGAATACCAGGCAAGCAAGACCGTATGTTGTCTTGTTTGCGGCTTCGATGACCTCTGCAGAAATTTTTCGTGAGAGAATTCGAAGGAGACGAATGTGCACGCACCTTCTTCAGTCTCAAACTTCAAGACCGAGGCAACCGGCCCGAAGATCTCTTCTTGGACGATCTTCATCTCGGGTTTGACATTGGTGAAGATTGTGGGCTGCACAAAGTATCCTTCGGAACCGTGCCTGTCTCCTCCTAGGTGCACTGTAGCACCATCCTTCTTACCGGATTCAATGAAGCTCATAATTCGCTGATCGTTACAGTCAGTGGTCGGAACAAAAATAGAAAACAGGCACCGACGTCGAATTGATTTTGGGAGACCTAGGTGGCAGAGACGAACGAGTTCAACGTGTGTAGATCGAAGAGCGAAGACAATCCACATACCTGAGGTCCGTGCCTGGTTGCCTTCGCGAATGGGTCTCCGGTGTCCTTTGCCAGCGTCTTCACGAGCTCGGTGAAACGCCCGATGAATTTGTCGTAGATGCCAGCTTGCACGAAGATACGTGTTCCAGCAACACAAGATTGGCCTGTTTTTTTTATGAACATCCGTCACGTGAAAGATTTGTCATGACTCTTACCCATGTTATCACTGAAGAAAGAGTATGAAATGAGCGAACAAGAAGAGAAAATGAAGCGATCGCACTTACTACATAGCAGCGCCGACCCAACGGATGGTTTGCTCGAGGTCACAGTCGTCAAACACAATACTCGGGCTCTTGCCTCCGAGCTCCAGCGTGACCACTTTCAAATTCGTCCGTGCGGAGGCTTCGAGAACTTTGCGTCCGACCAGAGTACTTCCGGTGAACGCGACTTTCTGGATGTCCGGGTGCTCGATGATAGTCTGGCCGACAGTAGGACCTGATCGATAAAACATCGGCTTGATGTTTGCATCAGGAAAACAATGCCATACCGTAGCCGTTGACGATGTTGAAAACACCGGGAGGGAACCCGGCTTCATTGACGAGCTCGGCGAATTTGAGCGCAGACAAAGGCGTCAGCTCGGAAGGCTATTATTCGGAATATCAGAATGAGATGAAAGGCAGACACGAAGGAATTTGCCTTCATAACGATACAATTTCCGGTGGCCAAGGCCGGTCCAACTTTCCAAGACAACATCATCACTGCAAGATGGTTCAGGAAATCCAAAGAGAAAAAAAATGAAATTCGATTTACTGGGGAAATTCCCTGGGGAAATCATCTAGTTCAGACAAAGAACAACTTGGGAACAAGACACTAACAAGGAATGATTTGGCCCTAGGATCATGTAGTCAGCACGAGCTACGCCATTATCTTGATTTACGTACAACAACCCCATATGGCTCCCGGCGGGTGTAAGCCAAGCGCTTGTCGTGAGTCTCGATCGTGTCGCCGTGAATCTTGTCAGCATAACCCGCGAAGTACCGGATGCAGCGGATGCTCCCGGCTATGTCACTCCTCTGCGCAACGGCGAATGGTTTGCCTGCGCGATGACATCAGCAGTTTCCCGGGGGGCCGTTGGAGCGGACAGAACACACCGGCATTGAGCGTCTCCAGAGCCGCGAACTGATCCAAGTCGCGCTCGAGAAGATCAGCCAAACGCGCGAGAAGTTTTCCACGCTGGGCCGCCGGAACCTTCAGGCCCCATGCGGACCGGTAAGTCTGTCCGTGACGTCAGCGTTTGTTCTCGCTGAGATGGCGCCGCTGCGCCCGCACCTTCCACGCCGTGTCGACGGCGAAGTTCACGTCTTTGCTGGTCCCGATCTGGACGCTCGCGATCTTCAGACCCGTGCCTTGCGAATCGTGAAGCTAAATGGTGCATAAATATAGCGCGGGGCACCCACTTGGGTTGATGACACTGCCAGTGGAGACAGGTGAGCGGACAGTGCGGCGCCAATCCAAACACGATCACGCACTCTACGAGCTCCTTTGACTCGATAGGGTCGACAAACTTTCCGCCGATGAAGAGCCCGGTCTCGATGTGGATCTTCCCCTTGTAGGACTCGGTGTCGAGCTCGATATCGCAAGTAGAAGGCATGATAGTGAATGTTGTGGGAGGTGGGTGGGAGGATTTGCGGACATGCGACCGTCCCCATTTAAATAACCGCGCTGGTTCTGCTTCTCGTGCAAGCTGAGTAATGATGAGAATCTAAAACCAGAAGAGGACTCCTGCCAGGGTCCCTAGAACCAAATTCTCGCGGTATGCATCGATGGGAAGGACACCCGCCCATGGCCGACGCACCCCAGAGCGGCTGCGAGCCATCCCTCTGAGCTCGTGAAGATAGCTTGCCAAGGAGGCCCGGAGAACTTGCACCCCATACGGTGAAGGGAGGTCGGGTGACTGGCGCGGGAAGATTAGAGAAGACGCCAAGTGAGGCATGATATCAGACGTGATTGGGAACACAGCAAGTTCTGGTCAAATGACGACCCTGACGGGCTTCCCAACTGAACTCTTCCGCAGGCCGGAATTCTGAACCAATCATAGCGTGAGCGATTGCGCGCGATGTGCGCATCGATGATCAATCGATCAATGACAGAGGGCAGAACGTTGGTGCACGAGTCGAAGGTCGGATGGAGTGGCAGCTGCACGTGATAACGCAAAAGGCTGGCTGTCATGCCCTTTCACTCTGTCCTGCCATCTTGACGAATGTTGCCATCCCCGCAGTTGCCCAATCAGTTGGAATGCCATCTGTTTTCATGGTGCATCCTACACAAAATGATCCAAGAAGCTATTTCACGGAGTATGCGGGCGGCTTCGCGTACAGCGCATCTCCGTCGTGCACGCGCCGTGTGAACAAGATGTCGGAGCCCGAAACTCCCTCAGAAGACCTCAAGCTCATTCCCACTGTCCCCGATCGAGATAACTCTCCGTGCACAGGATCGGGGTCGAAAAGATAGGTTGGAGTAGGTGGCGGCCGGTCAATGTAGGGTCCTGGGACGGCTGGATCCATGGCACCTGGGGGCAGGATCCTGGACAAGGCTGGAATGTTCGACCGCGACCGTGCCGGTGGGCTCGATGGGCCACTAATGCTACCCAAAGACTTCCGGTAATGTTCATCCGGCTCCCAAGGATCCACAGCCGGTAGCAAACGACCCGACGCCTCGTAAGCGTGCCCCAGGGGTACTGCAGCATATGATCCACGTGAGTACTCGCTACCAAACATCGAACCCCAATCGTCGATCAGTGGCTTGGGCCGCGCAGATCTTGCGCGTTTTTCTCGCCGCCTTTGATAGAGTATCAAGCAAAGCAGGAAGGCGCCAATGAAGACGAAGACGCCGAATGCGACACCGAGACCGACGTTCAGGTTGCTCTTGATCGAGACTGGAGATGTCTGAGACGCGGTAGGAGTAGCGGAGGTGACGGAAGATGATGATTGGGACGCGATGGAGGATGAGGTCGCAGAGCTGGACGACGCGGACGACGAGGTTGGTATCGATCCATTATCGACGGTGAATCTATCCAGACTAAGCACCTCCCCTCGAAACCGTCAATGGGTTGCACTTGCATGAAACCATCCACGATGATGAATCCCTCTATCCCCACAGTGGCCACCACAGAGTGTGTGGAGTTCGACAGATTGAATGCAGACCATGCTACGGATGAGAATGTCGACTCTGAGCCTCCAGGAGGCGTGGTTGAGGCATCCGGGTCCGTTAAGTTGACTAATGTCGCGATCCCATTGTCAAGACTCAGACGCGTGCTCACAGCATACGGCCACTGTGGGGCTAGATAGTACACTGCTACCCCTTAACCATAACAAATCGCGTCAGACGCGGTAGATGCACCATGGATTCCACCTACCGGTAAATGTGAAGACTGCTTTTCCCGAATCGTCGCTGCTGAACGTGTGACTGCCTCCAAAGTCGAAAGGCGACTGATGGGAGGATGACGGTTCCCATGTGCCGATATAGCCGATGGAGGAGTCGGTGTCATCGACAGTTACGTTCAAGAAGGCTTCGACGAGATGGAGGAAAGGTAGCGGAAGGAGGAAGAAGGCGAACATGAGGAGCCTGCCAGGTATCCTGATGCGGCATCAGGAAGTTGATCTGGGCTGTCAAACCTGTCAGACGCTTTGACAGGCCTTGCCAAGATCCGTCTGAATCTGTCCCATGGTTGGAGAATGATATTTCTTGAATTACCCAACATATCTGTTGCAACGTTGCATGACACAGCCTGAAAGTGCTGAAGATATCCATATAGATTTTCCGGACTTTCTCGACTCGAACACATAGAGAGGGCTGGTTCGGGGGATGATCGACCTTGGAGCGGTCTTGTGCACACTTGAACCTCGCCACTGACCCGATGGCGTCCGCGCTTGGATTTGAGCATAAGAAGGCATCCAGATCCAAACGATTGAGCTCTGAGATAGGGAGCCGTCGGTCAGAAGTCGAGTGACGAGATCGGAGTGCCTTGAAGCGGAATACGACCTCGTCGAGTTTTAGTCGACTGTCGATCTGTCACACTTCCGAGGTTTCTGGCGAACAGTGGCCACGAGAAGACAAAACTTTCGTGATACGCGCACTCAAAATCCAAATTCACGCGATATTTCTGTCTCGGAAGCACTGCGACGTTTTTTTGGGGGCTGTATTAACGATTATACTATCTGTTTAGACCGCCAGGTTGATTCCATGTCGACGCACCGCAGGATCCAATGAAAGTACCCTACACGGGCGTAACGCCCGCAAAAATCTGAGATGAATATATTGCTTAGAAAATGCTGGCAGCCATGCTCAAGACTTGCCTTGAAAAAGGATCTGCAAATTAACGCAGACGCGATGGTTCACACGGGTTCCGGTTTGTATTCGTCTCGTTGCTGCACATCGTCTGATTTCATAGAGGGCGCTGCGTGAGTTGATTTATCTCACATGCATGTGGAAAATCGTCTAGTCGCACTCTGTCGTTTGAGAAACATCGTCGTGCAATTTGGAGAACAAGTAATATATGAGGGGACCAGGCAAGATCAACACTGACTTTACTGAGATCACAACAGTCATATTATGGATACAACATACATCGATTGAGCAGTAACCCAGCAGCGCCGGCTACCAGTGCAGCCGGTGGGTAGGACACTGATATCCGCCCGTGTGCTTGAACAAATAGAGCTGGTGGTATGTTTCGGCATCCCACCACTCTCCTGCGGGCGTAATCTCGGTCACGATTTTGCGTTTCTAGACCAAGATGACTGAGTACACAACCAGACGGGAAAATGATGCGACGTGAGGCGCACCGTGGGAGTGAAATGTTTCTCTTGCACCTCCTTCGTCACTTGCTGCGCGATCTCCAGCTGCTCTGACGTGTTCGTGTATATGGCCGATCGGTACTCTGCGGCAGCATGGGTGTCATAAGCAGCGGGAATCAACAGCAATCAGCAGAGAGCGGAACACACGTGTGCCGACGTCTGGGCCCTGCTTGTCGACTGTCGTGGGGTCGTGGGAGCGATAGAAAAATTCTGACGTCCTTGAGCTCCCGTGCAGCACATCTCTCGGGTATCAATACTCACCAACAAGCTGAGCGTAGCTCACGACACTCGGATCGAACTCGATCCGCACTGCTTCCGCGTGGTCCGTGGCGCCTGTGCACACTGTTCTGTAGTCTGGATTCTTGACGAGCGGGTTCCCGCCTGTGTATCCGACTGTCGTGCGCAGGATACCTTTGCCGGGAGCGGGGGAGGGCGGGAAGTGCTTCAAAAAGATGTGTTCGGTTCCCCAGAAGCAGCCTGCGGCGACATGAAGAGGACCAAGGAAGAAAGGGACTACACACGCACCCGACGCGAATGTGGCTATTTCAGTCTTCGGCGAATCTGATCGTCCGCATCATTGTCAGTCAAGGCGCGCCTCGTTTGCACGACGCGACAGAGGGTACATACTGGCGCTCGGAGCGGCAACGTAGGCTGCCGGGTTAAAAGGGGGTCCAAGCACGAGTGATTTGAGGCGCGCCAACATGATAATCAGTCGCCCGCGAACGAAAGTCGAAGCTCAGCGCTGTCAGTAAGCAAGTCCGCGTGTCCTGACGATGACGCTATGCTTTTAGATGGCGAGGCAGTGCTGTGGCGGTACTTACATGAAGTACCGCAGCTGAGCCTGCACGTGCCCGGCACTAATTACCGCCCGCTCCAGTTTCTTGCTCTCGACCCCCACTTCCGCGTCAAACGTCCCAAATTTCTGTGCAAACGATGCCTCCCATCCGACCATCATCCATATCTGAACTCGCGGCCGAGGCCAATGATGAACGGGACATCGCCGCTCCCCGCGACGCATCGTTAAAGTACTACCTGCGCCGCGCAGACCAGCACCGAAGAGAGGCGCTCGCTTTGGTGGACGGCGCAGGCCGGGGACCGACAGCTACCAACCCGAATGGATCGGACGACCTCTGGGTCGATATGGAGGCCGCTTTCATCCAATTCGTGCGCGCCATTTCAACGATCATTGACAAGATCCCCAAGCACAAGGATTACATGTCGGAATTGTCAGAGACGCAGAGGAAGAATCTAGAAACGGTAGGTTAATTCGTCCTTGCAACTCCTCCACGCCTCATCGTATCTCCGCCGACCTCCGACGGATGGTTTCCATCGTAGTATCTAATCAACTATCCTCCGCCCTTCTTCTGGTCGCGTGCCATATACTAATTTCGACCTGTAGAATGGACACACGATGCTGGATAATCTCTCCAGAATCAAGACAGCCTTGGTGGACCGATACGAAAAGTACCTCCTCTCCGAGAACAAGGACCCCAATGCTGTGCCTGTCCGCCTAGCCAGGAAGTAGGTCCTCTCCCATCGCCGCTGGTCGTTCGAAATAATTGAATGCAGATACTAGGATGGCGGCAGAATCTCGCACGAATCCCGTTCAAGGGACACAGCCTCCACCTCACCGGTCGCAGACGAATCGGGCCATGGCGGATGAGGCAGCTGCTTGGCGGAAACAACGGGAGGAAGCGCAGAGGATGGATCAGGAGATGAAGGCGTCCTGGGCGGGCCCATCGACCGCGATCAGTACTGCATCAGGTGCGGCTGCGGCTGCTGTCGCTGCAGCAAGAGCAGCAGCATCAACATCAACGCCCACCCTGGGCAATGGTTATTTTTTGGCGTCGGCATCGGCATCAGGCGCCCCAGCTCGTATACCCTATGCACCACAGCAGCATGCGCCTCCCGGCGCGTCGCTTCCTGTCTCGCTGATGGGCAGCCATGGGCATCCGATGGTCAGCGCCAGCGCCCAAGCCCAAGCGCGTCTTGCATCAGTGCCGCCGAGTTTGGCTGGCCGCGCGCAGGCTTCCCCGACGTATTCTGTCCCGCCCATGAGCTACCCGAGTAGCTCTGGTGTGTCGTTTCCTGTTCCATCAACCAGCGCCCAACAACCTGTTGCATCTACATCCAGGACGTCTCCTATCGCCGGTCCGTCATACAACACATTGCCTGCGACATACAACGCATTACATGCGAAGCAATTCGTCACTCCTGGGCCGATGCCGCTACGTCCATTGCGCGTGGACGATAGCGATGGAGACGAGACCGACCGGGAGTCCATGCGCAGCGGCTGGCGAGCTGGGTACTCGGTTCCACGCAACGCCTTAAACGACCTTGCATCAGGCATAGCAAACATGGACCTGGGCGCGTTTCTCTCTGTAGTCAACTCACAACTCAAGACTGATTCTTCACCCGCAGGCAGTACGTCGAAACACGTGGAAGTTGCCTATCCGTCGTTGGCGAGAAGCATGACTGTGCACCAGAAAGAGCAGGGCTATGTACCTGCTTCTTCCGTCGCTCTTGATGCGGCTCGAACCGCTGCCAACGCATCAACGGCTGCACCGGCCAGCTACAGCACGTCCTTCGCTGCGCCCGCTGTCCCTCCGCTCCCACGAGAACTGCAGCGCAGCAACACCCTGTTTGAGCGAGACCAGAGGCAGGCGCAAGCGCTGTCTGAGCAGCGAGAAAGGGAACGGAAAGAGCGAGAGCGAGAACGAGAGCGTGCTGATGCCGATATGGCGCAACGACTGCAAGCAGAGGAGCAGGCGGCAGCTGGAGGGAAGCCCAGACTCAAGACGTGTGTTCTGCCGAAGCGGACAATCGACCGCTTCCTGGCTATTGCGACGGTCAACACGTCACGGAATATGGAGACCTGTGGGCTGTTGTTGGGAAGGGAAATCGTGCGAGGTCCGTCTGCTCGGTTGGCCTTTTTATTTCCGCTGTCTTGTCTGATCTTGAGGCAGAGAGCACTGGTCGAGCTCGATTCGTCATAGAGACGCTCCTGATTCCGAAACAGCATGCGACGAGTGACACATGTACGATGGACGAGGAGGAGATGGTGCTCATGTTCACTGAGGAGAGGGGTCTCATCACCCTTGGCTGGGTATGCCTAATTGTCCTCCTCATATCCCCCACTCATGTGGATCTGAATGTAGATCCACACCCACCCGACACAATCGTGTTTCATGTCTTCCGTCGACGTCCACACACACGCGAGCTTCCAGCGGATGTTGCCCGAATCTTTCGCCGTCGTCTGCGCACCGAAACACGAGCCCAAGTACGTTTACGCTTTGTGTGATAGACTATGAATTGAGACTGGCCTGCAGTTTCGGGATCTTCCGACTAACGGATCCGCCCGGATTGGAGACCGTGCTTTCATGCACAGCCAGGGAAGCGTTCCATCCTCATCCGGATGTCCCTATATACACGGTATGTGATCTACTTGGGATCCACATTCGTATATCTGATGTCTACCAGGACGCTGACCGTGGGCATGTTTTGCTGTCTGATGGACAACTAGAGATTGTTGATCTGCGATGATTCCCGCTCATCCATCGCTGTATCACTTACAATGTACTCCCCATCATAATAGTACTGATGGCGGCCGGCATGCCATTCGGCGACATCGGTCAAAGCGCGGGATATGGTGACGTCATTACTTCACGGCGGCATCACCACCGGCAGGTTCTTGGCAAAACAGGCATGTATTCACCACCCGTTCAAATAAATAATACAACGAGGAACATCCTGGCACCTCATGGATCAGATCTGATGCTACAAAGCGCGATTTAGATCGCTCGGCCGAATTGCACAACGCGACTGGATCGCCGAGAGTCGGTCACGACAACGATCCGCGGGATCTGCACAGTGCATGCGGCGCTGCCGCTGTTGCTGCTCAAGTCCGATGGTGTGGGGGAGGGCGATGGCGGGATCGTCGTCGTCGTCGAAATCTTGTCTTCGGACCTGAACCACGAAAAGTGGTCGGTGGACGAGAAGGGGTCTAGATTCCCTTATATGTTAAGAACGAAGCCGGTGGACAGAGGCTCAGATAACGCACCCACTCGACCGGCGAGACTCTCCCTCTTGTCCCCAGACCCCTTGGACTGACGTTGTCGTCCCGACTCCGCATCTCCGCCGCTAGCCAAGGGCTCGACTCTCCGTGCGCGTGCGCGTATCCGGAGCAAATAGGCGAGCGCCGCACAAAAAAGGAAGAACGCTGTCAGACACAAAAGCACGACCAGCTCGATGCTTCCGCCATGTATCATCTTGGGCGCCGAAGAAGTGGGAAGTTGAAGATATGGTATCTAGACTGGTATTGTTCCCGAATCAGCTGAGGAAACCACTGGAGCATGTTCTGGCCTACCACGAATGACAGGAGCGGAATTCAACGCATTGAAGAGAGGAAGAGCTACAGCGGCATAAATAACCCACTGCGCGGAAGGCGTATCCATCGAACGTAACGATCGTGTTTAGGGGGCAAGTGCCCGACGACATGACTGCGGCTTAAATTGGCGGGTTGCATGGATATCCTCGTTCTCTGGCGCTTGGCAGCGCTCCAACGAGGCATTCCGTCGAGATGCAACGGATGAAACGTAGACGGATTACACTACTTGTTTTAACAACGATATAAGATAAAATCCATTATCAAATGCAGTAATCCAAAACTATGCGTTCCGAATGTAATCCGGTTCCTCTATGAATATATCGTCCACAGCTTTCCATGGCTGGTTGCCTCCCAGCTTCCACACCCTTTCCCGTTCCGCCCAGTACTCCAATTGTCCATCTTCTCCCCGAGCTGGCGTCCACACTCTCTCGCCCGTATCGCCGTCAGTCTCCGCCGAAAACCACCGCGGCCGATGTTCGGGTAGTCTGCCAATCTCTCTGGCCTTCCTTGTCGCTCGCTGCTTCTCCTCCTGATCGTTCTTGAGCCCATTCGCATCCTCGAACCGGCCCATCTCGAATGCCCGCTGGTCAGGCCGCAGCCGGCAATCCGTCGGACACACAAACGGCTTCAACGTGTCCTTCGGACAGTCGTTAAGAGTGATCGCAAATGGCGTCAGATTGAACGGCGAGCCTTCCGGTTTCTCCGAGTTACGCCACAGCAAGATGTATTCGGGTGACGCTGACGGCGAGTTCGGCCCCGAGACAGCCAAATCGGGGTTCAAAGCACCTCCGCCCCCAACACCGACTTGGCGCGCGATGAGCTGTGAGTTCCAGCGGCCCGAAATCTCATAGGTCACCCGCCCATGCTTGTCCTGGACTGTGCCCGATATCTCGTAGGCATCCTTGCCTCGCCAGCCCCGTGGTTTGAAGGTCAGAATGCATGTGTCTTTCGTCCGGTGATTGGTGATGACCATGTCCCCGTAATGGTCAATCGTCGGCGATCCGAGAATGAATCCAGACACATTCGTGGTGACCTTCTTCCAGCTGAAGTGCTCTTTGACTCGGTTCTGGAACGGTCCACTCAGTCCGGCTTTCGGGTACGACGGCGCCACCTCTGGAGGCAGCAGCAGCTCTGCGTGTGCGATACCGGTGGGCCGAATTTCAAACGACTTGCCCATGAATTTGTTTTGAGCGTCGACCTACAAGAAGTTAGACCAGTCCGAACAGAGGCGTATTTATCACACACCTCGCCAAAGTACGACCAATACGGCGATTCTGCGATACAGGCAGAAATAGGTGGGTGATGGCTCACTTGCTCGGAAAGGTATCGATATTCCTTGTCCACCCGGACATACTCGAACGTCTCGCTCTACGATCCACCGTCAGCGTTGCTCAGAAGAACAGCCACACCACACACCAGCATAGGATTGAACGGCTTGGCAATACGACCAATGGTCGACGAGTAGTTGGACATGGCAAACGCAGCCACAAACGCAATCCGTCGGTGCGCATCGGTCTCTTTTGCAGCAACATCCACTGCCATCTTCATCAGTCGCGCATGCATCGGAAGAGTGGTCACACTCACAGCATTCGGAAAACTCCATATCTTCTGCCATCCTCTGGAGCATACTCGTTGGCTCGTTGAAGAACACAGGGAAACTGATCTTGGTAAGATCCTTCCCGATCGAATGCTTCAGTACACTCCACAGACTGGCATTCGGTCGTTCTTGCAGTAGATGCAGTTTAGTCCGCAAGGGCTGATACCCAGCGTACGACTGGACGCTAATCTGTGCCGGCAAAGCCAATTCAGAGTGTGTTGGTGACGTCAAGGCTTGGTTGATGACCAGGTTCGGGATTTGGTTAGACTCGATCGCGTCAAAGAACTCGTCCTCGTCGTCAGTGTCGATGGCAGATTCATTGTCGTTGAAGTAATTCGGATCGGATGAAACAGGGGGTGACAAAGTCGCGGAAGGTGACATGAGCGGGGGAGACTGGAGCGGAGCCTCCCCAATGGGGGGCGATACCACAATCGCCGCAGGAGGTTCCGATTCGGCGGCAAGCTCTTGTACCGGTGGGGTAGCCACGAGCATGCTCATTCTCCTCCGCCCCTTGAGCGTCAGCGTCCCATTTGCAGTCTCGCCGGAATCGAAGAACCGACTGCCTCGCTTCCGGCTTCTCGCTCTCAGCTCCCTCTCCAGGATTTCACTCTCCCGGACGGCACTGTCCAGGCTCTGCTCCCAGGCATTCTGCTTCGCCTTGGCCTTGGCATAGTGTTTGCGCCACCAAGTATCTCGCTCACGAGCAACCCCGACATATTCGGTCACTGTCGCCAGTGAGTCCCGGACTGCATCGTGGGTTGGTCCTTCGGGCAACAGGCCCAAGGAAAGCTCCAATTGCGTGACGACACTGTTTCCAAGAAGTTCGAATGTTGCTTCGTGTGGGACAGCGAGCCGATGCGTGCGTATTGAGGCGCTTGCGGACGAATCCTCAAATTCCTCGTCTTCATCCTCCTCCTCCAGTGGTGAAGGATCTTCCCCGAGCTCCGCATCGGAATAGCCTTCCCCGCTCTCTCGCTGACTAAGCGTTGGGCCAGCGTCAAGGCTGGGCGCTGCTGTGGAACCAGTGTGTCGTCTCATGGCACTGACGACTCTCGTCCGACCATGCGGATGATGCGCGCTTGCCCCGCTGGTGATGCTAGCTTTGGTGCCGAGCACATCGTCCGCACCTTCCTCCCCGTCGTGGGACTTGCTCCATGCCACGCTAGCCTGGATGGCGGAGATCCAGCGCTGAGCCTCGATCGGATGGTTTGCCTTCAGGTACCTGGCCGTCGCGTAAGCATCAGGATGGAAGGAATACAGAAGATACCCGCCATTTCTCTCCAGTCCGGCCATTGCTGACGGCGCCCGAATGAATCTCGAACCTCAACCGATCTGTACCGGAAGGCGGTTTTAGAACACAGTTCGTCACAGAGATGGCACCTCGACTAGAGTAAAGCTCATCCTGTTGTTGGCGATAATCTTTTCAAGTCAAATCAACGACAATTTACACGCAGAAGGAATTCTTGCAGACTCACAGCTAAGGACACCGGCATCCAATACGAACCACCTTGTGTTCCATCCCCGGGCGACATTGGTGTACTTGTTCAGATGGCCACGGAGGGATGGAGGCGCCGATGGAGCAGCAGCTCCACTGAGATTGGGGCTTCGCTGTAGGAGAGCCGGGTCTTGGTTCGTCACTGCGGAATGTGGTCAACGTGCTGATAAGGATAGCAGAAGCTTATGCGCACGTTGCCTCAGAAACGCCTTGACGTCTCCATCCCCCTTTCCTTTCCCACCACCGGAATAGCCTGTTGTTGTCGACGGCAAGCCTTCTCCCGGTAGCTTCCCGCGCATATCTCGAACGAAGACATCGGCACCTGCGCGCACAGCAAGCTCTAGCAATCTGAGATCTCTCCTCCGTGCGGCTTCGTGAAGCAGAGACTTCCCGCTACCATCGTCCAAATAGTTGAGATCGACATGTGCCACACGAGGAGACGAAAGCAGAGACAGTAGTGCAGGTGGAGGTCCTGCAGATGTACTTGGGCTTGTGTGCAGTTTGGGAGCTGGTGCCTGTGGTTCAGATCCCCGCCAAAATACAGAATTGCAGACATACTGGCAGCCGATAGACTCCCCGTGGACGAGGAGTGTTGGTGATGAGACCCGAAAGGCGATAGTATGTAAGAACGGAGAAGGGAGCGATAGGATGCGTTCAGAAAAGCTCGCGAATCTGCGATTCACAGGTTGGATGGGGGTTCGGGGACCAGATTGAACAAACGCACCATTGAATACCTTGACTACCTCCCGGGTCTTCCCCGAATCCTTAGCATCGCGGCCTTCGTTATCAAGCAACGTATCATTGATGCCCTCCTGCTCAAGCAGCAGATTGACTACATCTGCTCGTCCGAGCGAAGCAGCTAGATGCAGAGGGGTCGTGCCAGAGCCTGGAGGATGAATCCCGTTGGGCGAGATAGCCCGGTGCGAAAGGAGCAGTGAAATGGTATCCACTATAAGTCGGTGGCAACCGCTCAGTAGGCGTCAGAGGGAGGCAGAGAGAAACGGGGACATACGAGAGGCGCAGCGGATCGCAAGGTGAAGAGAGGCAGCGCCCATATCCAACTCGCTCGGGAGGGCCTTTCCGCCGCTGGCCACACTCGCACCACTTGAGACATTGCTTGCTCGCTGGTCCGAGCTCTTCCGCTTCTCTTTACCGATTTCAGCGAGGAACGGGTGAATAAGGGCAGGATCGCCTGATGAGAAGTAAGCATCTGCAATGGAACTGGCCAAGTTTCGGGGGTGGGTGGGGAATGGTATCGCGCACTCACCGCTCCTCAGTGCATTGAGCAGCTTCACTTGGTATAAAGGTTCCGATGCCGCACCAGCACCAGCAGCTATACGCGACAAAACCGATGAAAAAAAGGTCAGCCGCACACTGAGATACGTCGAATGGAAGCGCCGACGCACGGGAATCCGAGGTCAGCAGGGACGATGCGCGTGAGGGTAAAGTAGATTGTTTATTGCGCGAAATAGACTGGGAGGACAATGATGTTCTGCTCGACGACGCCATCGTGCTCGGGTTACGGCGCGTAGGTGACGGAGGAGAGTTGGTATGGGGTGGATAAATTTAGCCCCTGGGAATAGACACGTGTGCGGCCGCTGGCCGGATCAGATCTAGACCCGACGACTTGGACTTGTATGAGGGATGGGCGACGGCGCGAGCGCGAGCGCGGTCGAGAAAGGAAGGGGAGAGCAGATGACGGCGGGTGGTGAGAGTAAAATATGAATGGATGGCCCCCGCTGGAATGATGTGGGGAGCATAACCCTAACCATAACGAGGTAAATCGGCACGTGAAGATGTCGCTGAAACGAACGTGCCGAGCTCTGAGCATCATAGAACGTGGAATCCCAATGAATGAACGCTCGCGTAGAAAAAGCAGAGTAGGATCGCATCCTGTCAAGCAATGCCGTCGCCCAAATCTCGACCATGATATGCAATACAAGGGATTCCAACACAGTTGAGGCTAGTTATCACTAGAAGGCTAACCAACTCCTTAAAAAGTTTGATGAACAATTCATTTTCGTACCAAACAATTGGTGAGGGAGCTGATCGCAAAGATCGAAACTTGGGAATTTGAAGAAGTGAGTGCGTTGGACTTGAAGATGATCGACGGCTCTGCACCGCCACTATACTGTCTCACGAAAAGTCAGTGACATCATGACCCTGCTCAATGAATGATTTCGACATGAATCAGACTCCCAGAACTGTCAGGGACGCTCGAAAACACGTGCTGAATACTACTCCTGCCTCACCCATCTCCATCACCATCCTGTATCATGACTAGCTATTTTGTCATATTCGTCAACACGCCCAACATCCCCTCGGGCAAAGTTCGTCGCATGCGATCCTGACAATCAGGTTTCCGAAGATCTCATTTCTCGGCGTCAGGACCTGAACCGCGCATTTCTTCTCGTCCAAGACTTCAGATTCAACGACTATCCACCTGAGAACGGCGGATGGAAACTCGTCACTCTCAAAGACTTTTCACGCGACAAGACGACGGCGCCCACTTTCCCCCCCTTGGAAGAAGTGATCCAAAACGAATTCGCTGGGATGTCGCTGAAACAGATCAATGAGTACATGCTGGCGAACGAGGACAAGCTAGTCGCTGGAGACTGCTCTCCGCATCTCTGGCTCGTTATCGATGAGAAGGGTTTCGAAACTTCCACGTGTATAGTCTGTGAACACGTGGATAGCTCTGAGGAGGAGCAGAGGGTGGAGGACACTTCTGCTGCATCAGGATGGCGCGGATGTCGGCTGCCTTTTGAGGAAGCCCATGGAATGATTGTCAACTTGGACATTGCAAACATGGACTTCGAAGAATACGTCGACGAGGAAGCCGGGTTGCAGGACGACGGCACCTACAACTGGCAGAGCTTTGATTCGGAGGATGAGCATTCGGAGGAACCGCCCGAGTGGCAACTCGCTAGAGACGCTGCTTTCGAGGAACTGAGACAGGGTGGGTTTGTGTAGGAAGGAGAACAAGAAAAATGGCACGAATTTGTAACAATATCTGGTTTCTATCTGAAATGGACGCGCGGCTCTCCCTGGGATACTCTGCAGTAAGTCTGCCACAACCGTAACTCGAAAAGGAGTGGTTACTAGTCTCGTACTTTCAGCGGCTAGCACGAATCTCACGAGACGTTACTTCCAGTGAATTTCGCATTCCCGAATGCAATCGGATTCCAGATCGCGAAAACGGCTTGAGGAAGCTTTGCCGAGCTTCTAGAAGTTCATAACCCTAATTATGAATTGAACACGTTGATAACATGTGACCGTGTCCGGCGCAAGCATCGGGGACAATCGGCCATGATGAGAATGAACAGCCAACCGCTTTCAATCCGGACAGCCGAAGCCGATCAGCACTCGGCTCGGTGAGGTCATAAAGTCCGGGAGAGTCCATTCTCTACCACCAGCATTGATTCACATTCACCGACCATGGCTACGCTGCAGCAACCCATGAATGCGTTCACCAGAGACTATGTCTCGATCTCCGACCACGCATTGTTCGTCTTTGGTCGTCTCCCGTTCCATGCTGCCCTGGCTGATGTATATCGATCCTTCCTTACGCACAGGATCGGAAACTTGCACACCGCAGCGCTCGTCAGCACCGATGCTTCCAGTCAGTATCGTCCTGTCCACCTATGCTTACAGTGTGCGCCCATGCCGTCCTGATGCGCATCCAGTCGAAAGTTACTGCATTCCAAACTTCGATTCCCCGTCTGTCTTTGCGCGCATCTTGGACAAGAAGAAGGGCGGACACTTCTCGATTACACCCACGGTCCCGTACAACGCCAAGCAGAACTATGCATCTAGCTCTAACGTTCGTGCCCCCCACCGCTCTTGTTTCGGATCACTGGTGACGGGTTGCAGGTTCTACATACCAAGTTTATGAACGAAGGAGGGGTGGTCACCATCACTGGTAGGCTCGTTTCATTGACTGCGGCAGCTTCATATACTCTTCAGACTTCCTGCCCCGTCAACCCGTTCTGCCTCTCGGTGGGACCAAGCATCCACTCCTTCCGTGGCTAATCCGACGCGTCGAGGTACGCGATCTATCGTCCATCACTCTTATCACGAATCTCTCTCCAGGTCGTTCGCGGCACCGTCCCTCTCCGCGTCGAATGCGCCCCCGCCTTCAACTACGCACGATCCAAGCACACGACTGACATCGTCCCCTCGCACTCTGACGGCACCAGCAAAGCGGTCTTTCAATCTGACCTTCTCACCCTGGACCTTCGCTTCGTACCCGAAAGCACCATGCCGAACGTTCCTGCGCCGCAGATCGACCTGGCCCTGCTGGATCTATCGGAGCTTGGACATCTGGGACACGCTATCCAAAGCGAGATGACACTCACCGAGGGCCAATGCGTGACCTTCGTGCTACGCCATCTGCCGAGCCCGGCTCAAGCTGGGTCGGTCCTGCCTAGAAGTGATCCGCCCTTGACTGTGGTGCGCTTCCTGTATCGCTCATAGAAGGAAGCGGATTGGCTGACTGGAGATGTACGCAGGACTTTGTGAACAGTCTTCTCACCGCAACGAACAAGTACTGGCTCGATTGGATTCGGCAGTCGACGTACAACGGCTCGTGGAAAGAAGCTGTCCATCGCAGCGCCCTAGCCTTGAAGCTGCTTATCTATGAGCCTACCGGTGCGGTTGTGGCGAGTCCGACCTTCAGCCTACCAGAGTACATCGGCGGGACACGGAACTGGTGCGTTGCTTCGGTGTCGTGTCGAGCACCAGTTCACTCACGCCTGTCTCAGGGATTATCGGTTGGTAGCCGTCCATTTGGGTTTCATATCACTCATTAACCGTCAGCGCATCCTGGATTCGTGACTCGTCGTTCACGCTCTATGCGCTGATCCGACTGGGGTTCACCAAAGAAGCAGATGGTCAGCTTCCGTCACCGTTTCATCTCGCCACCTCTGACTAGCACGGTACAGCTTACATGGAATTCATCTTCGAGCGGCTACGAAACAAGAACCCCGATGGCAGTTTGCAAATCATGTACACTATCCATGGTGGGCGTTACCTCTGTCGCGTGAGGAGGCATTGCTGAGTTCGGATGCGTAGGGGGCTCAGAACTCGAAGAGATCGAGTTGACCCATCTTGATGGACATAAAGGATCAAAGCCAGTGCGGTGCGATCTGTGTCTGCTGGCTCCAAAGACACAAGCTCATCACTGGCTTTGCAAGGATTGGAAATGGGGCCGCAGATCATGTTCAGTTGGTGCGTCGTTAGTCTTGGGTGAGCGTACACCGTTTCTGACTATTGGTTAACCAGGATATCTACGGTGAACTGTGAGTTACATTGATGTCTGTCTTCTCTCCAAGTCAACATCTCCGCATCAGCATGGATTGTATCTATCTTGGCCAGAAGGTAAATCTTTCGTCTTCCTCGCCTTACAACTCGTACCCATACATCTTTGCCAGTCTGGGAGACCGTTATCTTATGACACATGGTCAGTCGCAGAGACTGTCCCGTTTCATCATTGACCGCCTCGTCCTCAGGCTCTTGGTGCGAGACCTGTGAGTCTCAGTTCCAGAATCGTTGTTCTCAGCTGACGATATCTTGCAGAGTGGACTGTGAGCATCTCTGTTCTACGTCTCACGTTCAGCACACTTATGGTCAACTCGTGGCTCAGACGTCGTCGCAAATCTGCACCAACCAGATTTGTATGTCGATTCCAGCCATCGTGGCCCAAGCGCTCATCATGCACACAGATCTATCTGGGAAGTCAGAAACAAGAAGCGGCATTTTACGGTCTGTCCATAATCCATCGCATCTGATCGCCCTCGTCTAATACGATACACCCCAGTATTCCAAAGTGATGCTTTGGGTCGCTATCGATCGTGGCCTCCGTCTCGCAGACAAACGGTCCCTTCCCTGCCCGAAGCGTCTGGAGTGGCTCGCTGCTCGTGATGCACTGTACGAGGAGATCATGACTAAAGCATGGAACCCGGAGATGCAGGTCTTCGGTCAAAGCTACGAGGATCGCGACATTCTCGATTCTGCGGTGCTGATTATGCCGTTGGTGTTCTTCATCCAACCGGTGGGTTAGGTGTTCACTCCGGATACCCTGCTTATCTCAGCCATCATCAGAGCGACCCCCGATTCATGGGGACGCTGCGGCAGATCCTGAAAACGCCGGAACGCGGCGGGCTGACTGCCAATGTGAGCCATCTGGGCGGCAGGATCATGACACGGGACTGATTGTACGCAGAACTTGGTCTACCGCTACGATGTGAGCAAAGCTGATGATGGTGTTGGTGGCGAGGAGGGCACATTCTGTCTCTGCACCCTTTGGTACATCACGAGAAGTTCCTGTTTCATCTTTGTCCTGTTTCTGATGCGAGCGCCAGGTGTGTCGAGGCACTGACACGTGCCGGTGAATACGACCTGCCAATGCTGCAGCGGGCTGTCTCGATGTTTGAGGACTTTTTGCTCTACTTGAACCACGTGGGCCTGTGCACCGAGGAAATATCTGATGCTGGCGAAGGGTAAGCACGCTTCATGTGGCTTCCGTCCGGTATCTCAACTTCGCCTTCTTTCTTCCAGTCTTGGGAACGCCGTTCAAGGATTCACGTATGTTGTCCACCTCGTCGATTTTTCGCTCGCATTCATTGCTGCTTTAGGCACGTGACGTTGATTTCTGCTGCTTATAACTTGTCGAGGACCATGACCAAGAAAACCAAGTTCTAATCGTCCTTGTAATGATTTGGCGAAATATAGATCAGAATGTACTGTGCAAGAACGAAGAGATGATATTTTACGCTGCTACGAGTCGATCTAGTTTTCGTCATTCGATCGGAATGTTTGGGACAAGCACACGAGGCCGAAAACTTGACCACTAGATGTTTGATCAACCGGGGGTCGTGAAAGTGTCAAACGGCATGGGATGGGCAACGAAAATCATTTGGATCGATCACGCGACCACTTCTACGTCGCTCAAAACGCAGCACTTGAGTTACTGAAGACCATTAAGTACTGCAGTTGTGGCAAGAGCAGCCACTAGGGCTAACAAAGCTTAACAAGCAAACTGTCACTGCCACCCAGCCTCAATCCCTGCGTCTTCCATTGCAGCTCGCTTCACTCATGAGTAGAATGCACTTTCGGATTCTAGATTTCTCTCGTTCTGCCGTGAGCCTCAAAAGTTCTGCATTGGATTGTGTCTCGCGCTGCTCTCTGAATCAACACTGCTGGTGGGACCTCACGACTCGTACCGCGGTCACGATACCACTCCATCCCCACGACTAAGCAACAGAGACTCAGCTTCCATGGGATCTCATCGCTGTCAGTTCCATAAGCGATTATGTGGACTTCTGTGTCCGCTGTTGGTGATCGAATCCTGTTGTCCACTTCCAATGACCCTTCCTTATCATGGACTCGGTCTCGACGCCCTGTCTAAAACGTGTCGAACGCGCTCCGAACCCCTGACGTTGCTACGCAGACTCGGCATAGACGGCCAGGCTTCATCACTATCCTATCGTCCTGACTGCTGGACTCGCCAGGACCCGTTGAACCTCGATAATCCCGAGCGAAGCCGCCGGAAGTCCGCAATCCCCCTTTCCTTGGAAAGGGTCGATCTTTGCTATGCTGAGGAATCCACCTTGCTCTTCATCCCAGCTGATCATGCGTCGGATGAGCAGCATCCACGCGAGAGCACTGAATCGGACAGGCCAATGTCTCGTCGGCCCTGGCACGCGTCGATGTCCACCGTCCAACAGCATGTCACTCAGTGGCTTACGTCCTTCTGCGTGCACCCAAAATCAACGACAACCCTACTGTGACGGCTCACTCGACCCGAACGGAAAACATGGAGAAGGACAGCACAGGCTTGCAGCGGCTATTGACCTCGCGCAAACTGGCGCGGATGACGTATACACCGGTGTGGTCCGACTGAAAGAAGATTACTTGGTGGAGAGTTTCGATGTGACCATCTCGAATGCCGTAGAGCTGGCCAAGGCGTACGTCCCCAAAATCCCGGGATTTGGACAATGGGGCAGGTCGTCGTTGGAGGTGAAAATTGCGTCTCGCATCCACAGGGCTTTCGTTGCGCTGCTAACTGTGCGAATAAGATTGTCCTCGTCGTCGGTTCTTTCTCGGCCTACTCTGCAACAGAGATCGGCTATGCTCTTGCGCTCTTGCGCCTGTCTCTGCGGGTGCTTTTGTTCTCGGAATGTGTCTACGGTCGTCACTGTGTTGCTGACCGCCCTATTTGCAGCGTGACAGTCCATCCTGAACACAGGACATGGAATCGAAGAAGCGGATTGATCTTGTGGACGGGCGCGTGCTTGAGGCGTCGATGAGATTAGTTCGTTTGGAAGTCTGTTTCTGTGAGGCTCCCATTCTGTCAATCGGGTACTGTTCTTCCCAATGCGACACAGTTCATTGGACTGGGCATTACACGTCCTGTCGACTCCTCCCGCGTTCAGACTCTCCTTGGCTTCAGGCCTACTTTCAAAAGTCTATCGCGAAATCATGGATTGGGAAGGCTAGCCTGCCCAGTTCGGAACGAAAGGAACGAGACAACAAGTTGAATCTTCTTATGTGCCAAGGTGCGCAGTGGAGAGAAGTTCTGGAGAAAGGGAAGCATCTTCGGGTTGTGTTTGGCCGCGCTGAGCAAGTTGGATCTCGCACTCTGCATTCGCCGACTTTGACGAGGGCTATTCTGCCGAGTGGCACCGGGGCCCATTGTCGCAGTCGATAAGAGAGAGAGAGAGAGAGCTGGCGAAGCTTTTCACGTAGCAGCCACTCGCCATGCCATTTCAGCCAACGCATTTTTCAACGGGGAAAGCGCACATTCATCCTGCCGCACCTCGGGTGATGTTGGCTGATTTCGGTGACGGAGCTCGTTCTCGGCATTGATGCCCTCATCCTAGGGCGTTACCTACCCGATCGATGTGCTTAAATGCAAAACTGCAAAAGCTCGAGATGCGTCTGTGCACAGCGAGAAGAGACAGTCAGAAAGCGCCAGAGATAATCGCAGTAACATCAGTTTGGCATGATGATTCAGGCGGAGATCTAGCGGAGCTTGAAAATTTTGTCTTTCTGCTTTGTACTTTCACCGCGTTCAGTACAGACCACCCCTCGCACCACTCCTCCTCTCATCGTCGCGCTTCCAATCAACTAGAAAACACAGGAAAACCTCTTCATTGCGACGATGTCCTCCATCCCGATCAACAACTCCTCTATCACGGCGCCTACCCCGCAAAACACTCCACTCAATCAAGCTCCCATCTCCCAGGGCCTGTCGCGCCCCACGGTTCCCGACATCCAGGAGGAGCCCGAGACTGCTGATGAGCTCACCCGTCTCGGTCCTGGTGGTGTGCAGAGCGCGATGCTGGGTTTGGTCGAGAGCCGCCTGTCGACACTCATCGGACAAACATCGGGCTACGTTGAGAGCCTCCCGATCTTGGTCAGGCGCAACGTCGAGGGCTTGAAGGGTGTACAGGTCAGGCAGATGGAACTCCAGAACGAGTACAAGCGCGAGTGCTTGGAGTTGGAGCGTAAGGTATGTCTTTGTCTCAATTCTTTCACCTGCCCTTTTCGTTCGTTTCGCCGTCCCGGATCTTGGCTGGAGACGTATCATGCGTCCCATCCATCCTTCGACTCGTATTAAGGGTCCCGATCGTGCAGCTGTGCGCTGGTCCCCGCGATCGATGGCACGATGATGTGATGCACGCGATAAGCTCGGCTTTTTCCTGGCCCATTACCCCACTCCCGCACCTTTTAGTCTTCCGCATCGCATTGGCTCACACTTTCATGTAGTATCTCGCCCTCCAGCAGCCCCTCTACGAGCGGCGCGCCGCCATCATTTCCGGCGCCTCCCCGGCTACGGCGGAGGAGATCGCTAAGGGTGAAGCGGCCGAACTCAAGGACGATGAGGATTACCAACCTTTGCCCAAGGTAGTTTTGCTTTGCCGTCCAGGCTGCTCTTGCTCAGTATTCCCAGGATGCCGAACCCGCTGCCGGCGAAGAGAACATCACGGGTATCCCTGATTTCTGGTCCACAGCGCTCCGCAATCATCCTGGTCTTGGCGAGCTCATCACGGAGCGAGACACCGAAGCTCTGGCGTTCTTGAAGAATGTGACCCTGGAATATCTGCCTAAGGAGGGAGACAGTGCGTTAGCCTCCCTCCATTTCTAGCATGATCTTGCTGAAAGATTGCCAGGCGAGTTTGCTGGAAAACCCGGATTCACTATCATCTTTCACTGGGACTCTGCTGCAAACACGTTCTTCACCAACGAGACGCTCACGAAGACATACATCTACCAGGAGGAGGTTTGCTGCCTGTCTTGCTGTAGTTTCATCTGCTTGAATTGCTCTTCAGATCGGTTACTCCGGCGACTTTGTCTATGACCGTGCCGTTGGCAGCAACATCGCATGGAAAGAGGAGAAGGATCTTACTCGCGAGTGGGAAATCAAGAAGCAGCGCAACAAGAGTCGGTTCCACTATGACGATCTTCATCATCAATCTGAGCGCTTTCTCCAGACACCAACCGTACCCGCCTCATCCGCAAGTCGCGCCCGACCGCTTCTTTCTTCAACTTCTTTTCCCCTCCTGTGATGCCTTCGGATGACGCAGTACGTGTCTGCGGCAGTCCTTGCGTAGGAAGCTGAGAACTTTCGTAGATTGAGGCTGGTGACGTGGACCCCGACGAGCTGGAAGAGATTGAAGAGCGGCTCGAAGTCGACTACCAGGTCGGTGAAGATCTGAAGGAGAAGGTGCGTACCCTGAGCTGTTCCTGGCCAGGGCTGAATAACACTCTGCCAGATCATTCCCCGTGCTGTGGACTATTTCACTGGCAAGGCGCTCGAATTCGAGATGCTCGACGACAGCGACGATGACATGGACGACCTCGATGATATTGATGACGAGGATGACGATGATGAAGATGAGGGCGACGAGGATGATGTGTGTTTCCTGCTTGCTTGTCCTTGCACCCCTGTTTACCATGCTAACAGGTCGACTAGGACTCTGACCTCGACAGGGTCCCTACTACCCGGCGCCGGGGTCCTGCAAAGGGCCGCGGTGCCGGTGCCAGCTCCAGTGCCAATGTCGACCCGCAGGACTGCAAGCAACAGTAAACCCACTCTTCTAAAAGGATATTCGCTTCCAATCACAACTCTCCATGTATTTCACAAGCAAACTCAGAATCTAGCTGACTTACTTAGCCCATGTTTTGTCCTGTCCTTATCCCTCTTACTCCTTCCTCTGTTTTGTCTCCGTACCTTACAAACTCAAATGTGAATGTATCTCGGTAATGATGAAAGGTTGTATCCAGAGCTGGAGACACTGTTGCCCATCACCCTCCCAAATTCCAGAGTTTGACACTCTTGTCTTTGGGCAACGGCACTGCCGGGGCAGTGGCACGCCGGATGATAGGGCTCGACTTGTCTTCATCCGACGAATCCGAACCCGAATCTGAATCGAGACTGACCACATCTGGGTCAGCGAAATGCCGAGACCCGGAGACCGAAAGCAAAGAAGGCTCGGCGGGGTGGAAAGCTACGGCGCCGATAGCGTCTGAGATGCGGCCATTAGCTTTGGGAGCAGGCCTTTGGGATGAACAACCACCTTTGTGAGCGGGGTATCTCAGAACGAGCGAGAGGCCGTCAGGCTGAGATAGATCGTGGATCGAGATGTTTCCCTCCTGTCATCTTGTGTGAGAAGAGGCGCTCAATGGTCCGGAGGGTGGATCCGCTCACCTGGTCTCCGTGGCTGAGATATCGGCCAGCGACATCAATATCGAACCGTCGTTTTTGGTTTGTATCCTGCTTTTGTTCGGGGGGACAGTATATCTGCACAGGAACGCTGGCATTCGCGCGCAAGTCCCAGCTCCACACTCCCGGGTAGCGCCGAAACGCCGCGTACAAGATATGCGGGTGCATCGGATTAAATTGGAGCTGCAGTCGGCGCAGATTGAGTCACAGACACGGTCTCAGTCCTGAAGGGGTTGGTCAAACGCACCTGAGTCACCGCGGCTTTGGGCCCCCCTTCGACAAACAGGACAGGGACATCGCCTTGCTCCTCCGAATACACCGCGATGTTTCCGAGAGTCGAGGACAGAGTGCCCGCAGCGTAGAATCCGGATTCGTACGACGGTGAAAACGCGAGTGAGGAAACGATCCCTGGAATGGTATGGCGTTGAGGGCCTGCGACACGAGGGGTGCGGACCCCGACCTTTGAGGCCATCGCGGCTGCTTTTCTTGGGCACAGTATGTAATCGGGTCCCCTCACCAGGTCGAGACACGTCGAACACCTCTATGGCATCCTCGAAGCCGCAGTACAGCTTGGTGGCAGTCGGGTTGAATGCGAGTGAGTGCGGTGCGATTTGACGCTCGCGGTGGTCCACGATGCGATACGACGCTCGGAGCTGGGAACGCGCGGCTGAGCGATGGAGATCCTGCACACCAAAGCATAACTCACTCGCCCATCCGAGGCGTCGAGCAATTTGACAGGCGTCTCCCTCACCGAAGCCGCGAAACAGAATGCCGCAGGACTGGACATGCTCGACATCGGATACCATGCGTAGTCCACAATTGCATCAGGCTGCCGGAAAGTGTTGACGAAGTCACGGGAGGTAATGGAGTCTTTCGCCTAGGAGTAGGTCAAACGATGCATATCGGAAAAGTGTCCTCGCCGTCTGTTACTTGTGCAGCAGGCGCCGATCTGCGAAGGTGTAGTTGAGACCTGGAGAGTTATGGGAAGAGAACATAGAGATCACGGGTTCAAGATGCGGAACTCCCGGTGATCACATTGCACGAGAGCAGCTGTCCCGTCAGCGCACCTAGGATGAACATTCAGAACCAATGGAACAACCTGATCAGGCCCTACCACCGAGCGCTGCGGGGAAAATTGCCTTTGAGTGTTCCGGAAGAGTCAACTTCCCATACACCAGATGCTTCAGGAGCTTTCAGAAGATTGTACTGAGGTGGTGTCCAAGTGTAATCGGCTGGATGCTCCGAGTCCATGAAGTGGTGATGTCGAGAGGAAATCAATAACACGGTCACGTGTCAACCCGGTCATTCATCGAGTGTCAAGATGAGTCGATGACCGCTGGGCATGTTTGGTCACGAATCTTGGAAAACCAATTTGGGAGCTCAGGAATGGAGAAAGGAACGAGGTCTGGATGCAAATACGGATGTCGTTTGGGTCCGAAGCTGGACCCGGCCAACCGTGGGTGCAGCTCACGCCCAACTGCCAGGGACTGGTGATGCAGTTGGGAACGTGAAATTTAGTAAAGCGAAATAGGGACAGTGGGTGAGATAATATAAATACAAAAACAACAAGACTTGGGAGTCCATTGTGCATCTGGGGGACTGTATGCATCGGTAAGAACAAAGCCGATGAACACAGGGAATCAGAATCACGGAAAATGAGGACCGACGACAAATGAAAGGGAGATGACACACAGCCTCTGGATGTCAGGAATGAGCGACCCATGGCCCAGAAAGCTTGCTAACGCCGAGCAATCACCCTCACCGACAAGTTATCTGCTCAATCCCTATCTAAGCCGGGAATCGAAGCATAGCTTTTACTTTTGCTCCTGACTGATCACTCACAAGGGAAAGTGCCAACACAAGCATGCAATTCTCAACTGGGCAATCGCAGAAGTGCATGACATATCTGCCTTCTGTCTCCTAGTTCGCTGCAGAATCTGAATGCCAAGCCCCCAGTGGGCTTGGGCTGGGGCTTGGGCATAGAATCCTGTATGTCTAAGCTCTGGATACCCGACTCACGTACACTAATTACACCGAGATAGACATCGATCTGTGTAAATAGCTACTTGACGTGTTGGCTGACGCGCCTGTAGATGTGCGGGCAGCGCTGGCCGTCGCCGCAGTCGAATTCGCGGTTGTGTCTTCGATCTATATGAACTGAAGTGAGACAGATTGGCTAATGCTTTCCAGAGTGACTCAATTCAATGATCACGCCCGCCGGACTCTACCCGGATGAATGATCGAGGAGATTGAACAGAGAGTCGCGATCACGTGCTATGCAGAGCAATCAGCGCGCGGGCAACGAGCGATAGGACACGTCGGAGATCCAATGCGACCGATGAGAGACAGACAGCTCGATGGAGCATGCAAAGTACATAAGCTGTCCTAACCTGCTTGCCGTCCGATCCTTACGGTGACCTACTGGAGAATGGAGACGCTACTACGACGGAAATATCGGGAGAATACTCCCGGTGCCGAATGCGAGAAGGCATCGTGCAATGGAGGAGTCACAGAAGAGATATGTTGATTATCGGAGCGCCGGGTTGCTTCGGAGACTGATGTAGCGTTTCGTACATATATAAGCGAGCTCATTGTACGACTTTCACAATTTAACTGCGACATTCCGTTTCAGACTGAGACTCCAGCAACGATGCCTTTCCACCGATTCTACATCCCGAAGGGTCTCTACTCGGATGCCGAGAAGGTGGCACTCGCGCAGGCCATCACTGCGCTCTACGTCGGGCCCCCGGCATCACTTCCCGCATTTTACGTCGTCGTTTCTTTCATCGAGCATGATCCGGGTAATTTTTTCGTCTCCGGAGAAACCAAGCGCGCCGACAACATGGTCCACATCCAAGTGGAGCACCTCGCGCGCACTTTTCCCGCTGGTGATGCCGGGTGAGTCGTCCATCGAATCCAACCACGACCGGCATGGGTTTATATACCCCGTCAGATTTGCGCGCAAACGCGATTTCATGGCAAGATACGAGGAAAGGCTGAAGCCATATACGTCGGGGCGCGGCGTCGACTGGGAGATCGTAGTCGCAGAATCCGATGTGAGCTATCTGTCTCTTCGGAAGATCACTTACGGCAGATTGATCGTTCATCCAGCCTCAGCTGTGGAATATCAACGGTATGGCTCCTCCCCCACCGCAAAGTGAGGGAGAGATCCTGTGGAAAAAAGAGAATAGGGCGATTCCGTACGAGGCGGACAAGGCAGTTTAACGTCGCTAAGCGCTAGAGATAGATTACCCATTATTTTATGACCAGAATCTTGAATGCAACTCCTCTTCGATCATATCCTGTGCGCCCTGGGCTACACGAACCATTTCTTGAGGTCAGGTGAGGGTATTCCCCTCGTTTTGGGAGCCGCAGGGCTCCAGAATCACGGGCTGTTCGTGATGTAAGTTGACCGGTGACAGTCTTTCGGTGTCGGCAACCTTACCATGTGTTACTTGGGCGGTGCTCGATCTGTGAGGCAGTGAAGAGTGATGGCCAGATAAGATAGAGATCAGAGGTTCCCGATACGAACTCCCTTCAATCACATCTTACACGAGCAGCGTAGCTGTCCTTTCAGCGCACCTAGAATGGATGTCCAGAACCAGCAAATCAACTCCACCGGGCCCCACGACTCAGCACTGCGGGTGAAATCTCATGAGAGTATCTCAGAATCTTCGAATTCGCCCATAACGGCTGCTTCTGGATGCTACAAGTCAATGAATTTCACGCGAAGTGATGTCGAGAGGAAATGGAAGACACGATCACGTGACAAACTAATCATTCATTTCGCGTCTCGATGGCCGCGCTCGAACCGGCGAAATATCAACTTCGGTGCTATATGGGAGTATTTTCAAGCGATATCTGTGAATGTCTCGTGTAACTCGAATTGGGGGCTCCAAATGGCTCAAGACGGGCCTATTTTCGAGTTGACAGAATACTACAGTGACAGCTGAGTGAAATCCTCCACTACAGGTGAGAAAGATCCAGGGGTCATACCAGATATTTTACGTCATAAACACGCTGCGAGTCTAAGGCCACCTCAGCTCTTCTGTGATCACTCAAGAAAAGGGTCACGTACTTGATGAGGGGGTAGCTGTGAACACAGCCGACGAGGTGATGGTCTCAGGAGTCTTCAAACCTTGTCAAGCATATGAAACTTGATTTCTGACCCGCACAATTCTCTTTCTAGACGTGGACCGAACTCTGATGCTTCATCTTCTTAGATCGCGCCATAGGGGCTCGGGCTTGAGTTGGACGCCCGAGGGCCCGCGTATGCGGTCTCGGGCTTACGAAACTCGGGCAGTGTGAGCTCCTGAAATCTGAGCCCGGATTTCATGTGCTCGGTACTCTCCATAGGGTATGTACGCACATCTCTGAACGAATTAGCAAGTCTGATGCGTCAAGGTTAGAATCATGCCTGCATCTACTCGCAAAAAAGGAACGGAACCCCGATCACATGAAAAGACGCAGATAGTGTAAGTACGGCTACCGAGGCTAGGAGTCTGACCATCGTTCCTATCAATTGCTTTAGAAATAAGCCACTCATGAGAGAACAGAGCCGAAACAACTATGACGCTATCCGTTGAACGATTGTGATGGTGCATGTCATGTCCCCATCTATCTTCATGTTTCAACTCGCCTTCAGGATCCGAACGCAATGCTCGGTCTCGGGCTCGGGCACGGGCTCGGGCATAGAATCTTTCCAGCCCAAGGTTTGAAGACCGGACTCGATTTCACACATCAATCGCAAAGATCGAAACATAAATTCTCGTGTGAGTAAGGATTTCACATGGCCATTAACGCAATTGGAGACACTCGGGCAATGCGGATTGTCACCGCAGCTAGACTCGTGTTTGGGTGGTCGATCAATGTAAACGAAAACGATATGGATTGACTAATCCTTTCAAAATGACTTGATTTAATAATAACGCCCGCCGGGCTCTGCCCGGATGAGTGATCGAAGAGTTGAACAGACAGTCGCGATCACGTGCCATGCAGACTAATCGGCGCGGGCCTCGAGCGATGGGAGGAGTCTGAATTTCAATACGACTGCAGATGGTACTAATGGGGAAAATGTAGCCCGATAGATAATCCAAAGTAAATACTAACTTAGTTCCCGCTCGAATCTTACGAAGACCTACTGGCGAATGCCAGAGATGCTACTGCGACGAAAATATCGGAGGAATGCTACCCCGTGATGCCGAATTTGACAAGGCGTCATGCTAGGCAGTTATCATCGAAGAGATATGTTGGTCAGCGGACCCTCGGGGACTTACGTGGCGTTGTGCGAGTATGTATATAAGAAGAGCTAATGGTATGATTTTGCACAGTTCAACTGCCCCATTGCGATCCAGACTGAGACTTCAACAACGATGCCTTTCCACCGATTCTACACTCCCAAAGGGCTCTATTCGGATGCCGAGAAGGCGGCACTCGCTCAGGATATCACGGCGCTCTACACAGCCCCGCCAGTATCACTCCCGGCGTTCTATGTCGTCGTTTCTTTCATCGAACTCGATCAAGGCAACTTCTTCGTCGGTGCCGAGACCAAACGCGCCGACAACATGGTCCGCATCCAAGTCGAACATGTCGCACGCACGTTCCCCGTTGGAGATGCCGGGTGCGTTGTTCCTCCGGTCTGATACAGCAGGCACGGGCTCAAGCACTCCATCAGAATCACGCGTAAGCGTGAATTCATGGCGAGGTATGAGGAAACGCTCAAGCCCTATACCGCTGGGCGCGGTGTAGACTGGGAGATCGGGGTCGAAGATGCCGACGTAAGCCATCTCTTTGGCCGATTGCCAATGCTTTGCCGATCATTTATCCAGCCCCAACTGTGGCACATCAACGGCATGTCGCCTCCCGCACCCCGCAGCGAGGAAGAGACACTCTGGAAGAAAGAGAACAGGGCGATCCCTTATGTAGCGGAGAGGATAGTTTAGCGATGCGATGCGCCAGAGATAGATCACCGCTTATCTATGACTAGGATCTCGGATGCACTTGCCTTGGGCCAGATCCCATCCCTCCAATGCCGAAGGAGCAATTTTTGCGGTGAGGGTCATTCCTTACTGTCAGCAGTCAGCTCGTATCGCGTGCTCAGAGTTTCCATGCCGTCTTGTTATGAAAGATGACCGGTGATAGCCGTCCGATATCGTCACCCCTCACCATGTGTTGCTTGTGTGTTGCGCGATCTGCGAGACAAATGTCGTTGCGGCCTTGGGAGTGACGGCAAGAGAACGCAAAGATCACAGGTGCAAGATGCGGAGCCTAGCGGCAATCAGATTGTACAAGAGCAGCTGACCCTCCAGTGCACTAGTAATAGTATGAACATTGAAAAACAGCCAATCATCTTCACCAAACCTTGACATTTGCCACTGTGAGGGGAGATTCCCATTGGGATGCATCAGAGCAATCAACTTCTCATCTGCCGGTTGCTTCAGGGGTCTTCGAAGGATTGCGGTGTGACGGTGTCCCGGCAGAATCTGTTGGATGGACCTAGTCCATGAAGTTGCGTCGTGATGGCGGGAGGGAAACAATTTCGCGGTCACGTGCGTGATAATCATACCATTCGCGTGTCGAGTGTGTACGCTCCATAATCGAAACAGGGCTGTAGAGCTTCTGGGTTTTCAGATGAATTCTGTACAAAACAGTGGGTCTGAAGTCATTTTGGTTGCGTTCCTGGGTGGGGCTTGGATGAGGACGACCCCTGCGGGCTAGCATCTCAAGTTGACAGAATTCCGGAATGACAGCTGGATGAGATCCTCACTGTCAAAGGGGGGAAGATCCAGATTCAATTATCGTGCGCGCGGAGCTGCCAATGCGCTCCAAACACGGATCGATTTGGAAACTTTACTCCAAGGTGATATTTCAACTCAGGTTGGAAACCGTTGCTTGTGTCGTCTGAAGAGCTCTGTTCCGCTTTTCTTTCTTCTTTGAAACAAAAGATCTGCTTGAAAGCCACCCACTCTACATTTTCAAACTTCCAAACATTTCCGAAAGCTTTGATCAAAGTTGTGATTCGATCTTGAGTTTCGTCTGCTTGGAACTCTTGATTCCTTTTGGTTATGCCAATTGAAGCTCCTGTGCCATGAATCAGCTGTCAGCGCGCAAGAAGAGCGGCATGAAAATACAGTCAGCGAAATATCAGAAAATCCACGTAGAATTGACTGAGAAGCTAGTAGGCGGGTCTAAATCCTTGGAGGAGCCTCAGGTGAAACTACTGCTACTAGAGAGGTAGCGAGGCCATTAAGAAGCTCGATTGACTCATCACAAATGACAGAAGTAACAGGATGCCGAGTGAGAAGCTGGCAAGCGTTGGACCAGCGAACGGAGATGCAACTTGCTACGTGAAACATCGAACGGATACCAACCGTGGACCAGAGCTGATTAGACGTCATGCGAAGCAGTACTAATCAAAGAGATGTGTTGATTACCGGGCCGTTTGGGGCTCACGTAGTGCTTCGTGCTCTGACAGCATGAACCCAGGCGAAGATGAGAACCGTAAATAAAAGGCGAGGGTCCATGAACTTCGAATAATCCGGCAACTACTAGTACGTCCCTCTCAGCCGGGACTCCAGCAGCGATGCCTTTCCATCGATTCTACATCCCCAAGGGTCTCTACTCGGAGGCTGAGAAGGCCGCACTCGCTCAGGATATCACCGCGCTCTACGTCGGGCCTCCCGCATCACTTCCCGCATTTTACGTCGTTGTTTCTTTCATCGAGCTCGAACATGGCAACTTCTTTGTCGCGGGAGAGGCTAAGCGCGCCGATAACATGGTCCACATCCAAGTGGAGCACCTCGCACGCACATTCCCCGATGGAGATGACGGGTGAGTGGTTTATCGAATCCAATGCAGCCGGTAGGAACTCAGGCACTGCGTCAGATTTAAGCGTAAACGCGATTTCATGGCAAGATATGAGGAAAAGCTGAAGCCATATACCTCGGGGCGCGGTGTCGACTGGGAGATCGTGGTCGGGGATGCCGATGTGAGCTATTCATCTCTCCGCCAGACCACTCACGGTCAACTGATCGTTTATCCAGCCTCAACTGTGGAACATCAACGGCATGGCTCCTCCTTCCGCCCGAAGCGAGGGAGAGACCCTCTGGAAGAAAGAAAACAAGGCAATCCCGTACGAGAACAGCTGAGTGCGAGAGATAGATCACCAATTATCTTATAACGGAAATTTTGAATGTAACTTTTCTTGGATCAGATTGTATCCTTCTCACGCCGTAGGAGCCATTTTTCGGAGTCAGGGTGATGCCTTCATGTTGGCACTCGACCAGGATTGTGGGCACGGAGATCATCGGCCTTGTTGTTCTATCAGCTTGCCGGTGACACCCTCCTGATTCCTTTCTTTATCATTATGATCATCTTTATGGTCTAGGTCTTGCTTTCTCCTAGTCTCCAGACGTGTTAGACTCCTAGTCTTGCTCGGGTATCTGCAGCAAGGTAAGTGTTGTGCACTTGCAACCTCTGCCACCGGCCACTCGCGCAGATAATCCACTCACCGGTCTATCACATTCTTCCCACTTTCTCTGGTCTCTCGAAGCTTTAGTCTGCTCCTGCATGCTCCATGCCCGGGTAGGTGCGCACTGTGACCTCAAGGGCTAGATCCCATTTCCTTCCGGATCATTCATTCTCACCATCTTGTGTTGCCGCCAAGTACTCGACAGGAGGACGCGTGGGTTCGGGATCAGCCGGCCCGGCGGAAACACACGACCATAACGTACGTCTGAACTGGGGACGAAGTTGAGTTTATGTAAACGGAAATATGTGACGTTCATTCTTTGTCAATCTTTTACTGATTACTCTCTCGACCTGACAAAGCCAACTCAATTATGTAGCCAGCCATCTAATGTGAATCCTTGGGTTCCTAATCGAATCAGAACTGAAGAGTCGACTGAACTACTTTCAGATACTAGACACATCTATCAGGACGATTCTCGGTACGTACTTAAGCTCTCCTTTAGAAATCGTCTAATCGGAGAAAGTCATAGATTGTGCTTGCAAGATGAATAAGCCTTGAAGCGAGGCACACCCGATGTTCAGGACAGTAAGGAAATGAACCAGGCAGCGGGTATGTTCAGGTCCAAGCGTTTGGAAGCCATCCTTTTCCTTTACCCCATTTGACATTCGTTAACTCATGGATCTCTGATCGCTGAGTGCGAACGTGACCCGCGTCGATAAGTCTGTCCTAAAAAGCGGTGATGCGGTTCTTATGCCCTACTTACTTGGATCTACGCGTTGACTTGGAATCACATAGTGTGCGATGATCAGAGACCAGAGGCTAGAGCAGAACCCGGCCCGGAATTGATGATCTTCATTCCAGCACATGCAGTTGCCTGCTGTTGCTCGCTCCCTTCCACCAGGAACGACCGCTGACCGCGCTGCGAAGACAGCGCGCTTGTTGAGAATCTTCTGCAGTCAGCCGTTAGCGAATTCCGTTCACGGTCGTACTTACTGACTCGAGAGATCGTGGCATCGGAAGAAGGACGCCACATGATGGCGTTCGTCGGACGACTGATTTCAACATTTCAATCCTCTTTGCCTTATCGTAACCCACGCAATATCGTCTTGGGGACTGTCACCACTAGTACAAATGATCCTCGTAGTCAATTCCAGAGTATAACCAAGATCGGTGAGCCGCTCTTGTAGGTCGGAAGGAAGTGTGCCGCTCCCGGAGCTGCGTTCTTCCCGTCTTCCTGAAAATGGCGACCATGAATTGATCGCAATGCGATAGAGCCAAAACGTGGTCTTGGCATCAATGGCATGTAGAGCTCGGCTATTGTTTACTCTTGCTTACTCTTTGATTCTTGTCCTGGTTGTGGCAGCACCACGTTGAATCGGTCTCGCCAAACTGCAACCCGAACGACCAGGTCTCCACGGACCACTGCTACTGAAACTCTCCGCCGATCGCACTGTCAATTTCGAAAGAAGCAGGATCTGCGTCGTGGTCGCGCATCTTTTGCTTGCCGATGATCATGGGTTTTGCTCCCCAGCCTGCCCAAGGCTATCTGGACTCGTCCTGCGCTGTGTTGCTAGCGGAGAAAGTATCATCTTGCATACCGACAGCATGAGAGCGCTCTGGTCACTAAATATCCAGAAGCCAGACGGAAATGACCTCGCAAGTTTTCCCTGAAACACTACGCTTTCGGTCGATTTCAGAAGCATGCCTGTCAATCGGAGTCGGGCGGACTGCAGGTTGCGAGCGAGGCGACGAGATTACGACGAGGATTCGCATGGTCTCCGATTAATACCTCCACATGGGAGAGCACTAGTGCTATAAAGGCTGGACGATGCAGCAGGGTAAAGCAAACGAACCTCTTCCTTCGTTTCCTTCCGCCTCTTCCTTCGTTTCGTCGGTTCCTTTCGTTCCTTCTTCATTCAAACGCCCAGGCCGGCCCCTTCATCTTCGTTTCTTCAATTCACACCGACTTCCGAGAAGCCCCACTGCAAAATTTGATAATGCTTTCTTTGGTTCTTCTTCTGCCCTTTGTTTCTTTGGCTAGTGCCGCCAACGACTGGACTGTGCCCTGTGTCTCTGGGTCTTGCTCGTATGGTATGCCCGCTCGGCCTTCTTTCATATCACCGAGCTGACACAAACCAGACTTGAAGGCCACGAATGGCACTGCGGCGTCGGGTACTGTGACAGTCGTACGCGAGTCTTTTCATGGCTCAATCATCCAAATTGAGCGAGTTCTAGTGGAGTACGAGCCAGCACGCGATCAGTGACATCACGACCGCTGCCAACTGGCAAATCTTGGGATGCGACTCGCAGTCTACCGCGCAGCAAATCCGTCTAGTCTGCAACGACGCCGCCGCGAACTCGACCTGCGGACATTTGTTCGCTGGCGCGGGACCTGTACACAAAATTATCCGGCTGCCTGAAAGCGTGCGTGCCCTGCAGCCGCTTTGAAAGAGGGCTTCCCCCCTGACTCACCTCCCTAGTGTGGAAGCAATGCGTTTGCACGGGTGTCTAAAGTTGTCGTCGCCGATGACCAGACCATTCCTGGTCACCTTGCGAGCCGTCTCTCTCGCCGCGACGCCACGACCCAACCGGTCCATTCGCTCTGGTTCGACACCGAGTTCCAATCCGTTGATCACACACAGTGAGTGCTCTCCTTTTTGCCATTTTCACTGATTGACATTCTTAGAACTGCACCCGTGAAGATCGCCATTCAGGGTGCCAACTTCCCCGGTGCCCAGTCGGCGACCCCGCTTGTGCCGCCTTCGGGACGCAACTCACGTCTTGCGCAACGTGTCTTGGACACCTTCGTCAAAGACTCCTTGGCCGGTTCGTATCCACTTCTACGGACGACATGATTGCTTACCCGCAATCACAGTCCGCGCAAACAACCCCGTGTCGGTCAACCAGACCTTCAACTTGCCCCCGGTCGATTTCACCAAGAGCGTGTCTCTGATCAACCAGTCCATCAAATGTGGCCCGGTGTCTGCCTCCCTCACGGCAAACATGAATGCTAACGCGCATGCTACTGCCGCCATCGCTGTGGCTGCCCACGGTACCTTGACTCCGCCCAAGGTGTGTAGTGCACCTAAAGTCTCATCTCCGCGCTCATTCTTGCGTAGCTCTCCGACTTTGCCGTTGTCGGAACTCTCAACGGCAACGTCCAGGGAACTCTCGACTTCAATGCCGGTGTTACGGTGGGTACCCTGCAGGCTGAGTATGCCGTACAGTGCTCACTCGCTTCCAGGGAACTGTCACCACTGGCAAGCTCCCCCTCGTCTCCGTCGGTATTCCAGGTACGTTCCGCCTCTGCGTCGTAGCACAGTTTTCTCAATGGACGGACGAATAGGATTGACCGTTCCCGGAATTCTGACCATCGGCCCGACTTTCGAAGTCCACGCCTTGCTCTCGGCCACCTTCAATGCGCAAGTCGATATGAACGTAGGAATCAACCTCGACCTCGCCAACGCTCAGCTTGCCTTCCCCGCTACCTCGGCGATCTCCCCGGGCACCAAAGCATTCTCAATCGGAGACACGCGTAAGTTCTTGAGCCCTGTCCTTGATCTGCTAAGTGACAATGCCCCCAGCCCTTACACTGTCCGCCAGCCCTTCCTTCTCGGCCACCGGCAACGCTCAAGCCCATCTCATCCCGTCGCTGAATCTGGGTGTCTCGGCTCTGAACAATGCCGCTTCAGCCAAGATCTTCCTGGAATTGGATGCCAGCGCCCAGATGCAAATGTCCTTGACCGCTGCTGCCAATGCCGCGGCCAGCACTGCGCTGACCGGCAAGTCCTCCGCCGCCCTCCCCGCCGCCTCTGCCAAAGCCGCTTCCGCCAAGCCTTCCGCGTCTGCTAAGGCTGCCGCTGCCCCTGCTAAGGCTGCTCCTGCGAAGGCCTCCGCTGCCCCGGCCAAGGCTGCTCCGGCGAAGGCCTCCACTACCGCCAAGCCTGCCGCCGCCCCTGCCAAAGCGGCTCCGGCCGCTGTTGCCCCGACGAAGGCTGCTGCTGCACCCGCCAAGGCCGCTCCCGCCCCCGCTAAGGCCGCCCCCGCCGCCCCCGCCAAGGCTGCAGCTCCCGCCAAGGCTGCCGCTCCCGCTAAGGCTGCTGCTCCCGCTAAGGCTGCCCCTGCCCCTGCCAAAGCCGCGCCGGTCAAGGCTGCTGCCCCCGTCAAGGCTGCTGCCCCCGTTAAGGCTGCGCCCGTCAAGGCTGCCCCTGTCAAGGCTGCTCCCAAGGCCATTCCCGCCAAGATCGCAGTGAAGGGCCGAGATGTCGAGGAGGACGCCGAACTGGAGCAGCGTGCAGTTACCACCAGCGCGTCCACCACCGTCGGAGGCTGCTTCGAGGTGCGTCGAGCCGAACCATGCTCTAAATTATCACTGATACACTCTTTCAGATGGATGCCAACGTTAACGTCAATGTCGGTGCCTCTGGCCAGTTCTTCGGCCTGTTCAAGCAGAACGTGTCCAACACCCTCTTCACCAAGAAGTTCGTTATCTTGAAGGTAATACCGTCCCCGCCCTGCCGCTTTGTAGTCACTAAACATCGCTTCAATCTTGCAGAAATGTTTCGGAAACTCCGCTGCGAAGAGACGCTCTCTCCACGCCATCTCGCGCCTGACAGCGAGCACGGTTGAGCGTGACCTTGAGTTCGATCGCCGTGCGGGTTTGACCTGCCCCGGGTCCACTGTGCAGGCCCCGGCCCCGCTGACCAGCGGAACGATCAAGGCTGCGACGTAAGTTTGCCATCTCCATCTCCTCGTCCCATGACATGGAACTGACATCTCCCCCAGCATCAAAGCCGTTTAAGCAAAAGACTAAATTGAACGACCATTATCATTCATTTTGTTATAAACAACCCTCGTTATTAATTCAACCTTTTATTGCGTGTCCCAAGTCTCTGTACGCTCTATTCAGTCGGTGCAAGCTCAGTCGCGGTAAGCCTCAGAGCCACGGCTGAGTGCCAGACAAGGGTGGCTCGTTATTATTTGGGATGCTCACCGTCTTTCTGCCTTCTCGCTCCTCAGCCTGTTTGTTGTTGCCCACTCACCTTGTGCCTGCGTCTTCTCGCTCACGCTCTGGTGGCTGCTTCGGGCTTCCAGGACTTCCTTGCCCGAAGTACCTTTGCGCAGTCGGTGTATGTTGGCCTGCAGTGTCGGGCTGTTCCGTCTTCGCTCGTTTCGCCAGGTTTTGGAGCGATGAGTCAGCTCTCAAGCAGCCCGTCGGACGCTGGTTAAAACAAACCCCCAGCATACACCACGCCTCCAGGTTTCGTGCCATTCGTTGCTGCCTCTCCCTGTTGGCAGCTTCCGCTCATCGCTGGTCACTTTGTTGAGACGCTATCTCTGGCTTTTCTCTAGTTGGCAGTTATCCGTAGGCAGTGTGATGGGGCTTGCAACTTCCTGTGCTCAATCGGATCTATGACCATTATCATAGAACTCGCCATCGCTCAAACGGTAAACGAAGATGAACGAATGAATTGCATTTACATTAGTGACCTGGCGAAATCCTAGGGTTGAAATGGAACCCAAACAAGTACAATACGAACGACCCAGACTGAGAGTGGTTATGATACATACAATTGCGATTAGATCTGGACTGACTAGGGCCCGAGCTCACAATGGAGCCTCTCCGGCCACCGCTTTTCGAACCACTGCCGCAGCAGCGCGTCAGTGGCATCGAGGACCTTGGGTGCGCTGGTCCCTAAATCGTCGTTGAGGCAGAAGAGGGCCGTGGAGTGGTCGCTCTCGATGTCGAGCAGATCGCTCTGGGCACTGAGGAACCCGTTCATGCTAAGGAACTTGGTGCGGGAGTCGCCGATGACGTAGGCGTAGCGCTGGATGAGGCGCACAGCGAAGGCCCGGGGGTTGGTGGGCAGGGCGGGCGCGGAGTCGGGCAGTTCGAGGGGCAGGGTAATCGGATCGTCGAGGCTTTCCTTCGAATTCGAGGGTGCAGGCAGAAATACGTCCAGTCCGGTCTTGGACCGAGCGGTCAGGGCAAGGATGACTAAGACGAATCAGCGTGGGCCACCGCTGCAGTGAGAACAGTGCGCACCTTCGTCACCACATGTGCTGACGAGAAGTCGCGTAAACACTTTCCAAGCGTCCTCAGGCTCCGTTCCCAAACATGCACTTCTAGAATGAGAGACCATCTCTGGAAGCTGCTTGTAGTCGGCGGTGTAGCCATCCATGGAGACTTGAGAACGCAAAGTCAGTAGATGGTCTTGTCTGAGGGAGAAAAAAACTCACCCCAGCTGTATGTCGTGTCCATCTCGGAGTCAACGTGGACAGCTCCAGGGGGCTGGATACCAGCCATGAGCAGATTCAAGTCAACCTGTTCTCGAGTAGTCCGTTCAGCGGTCTCGAATAGTAGCCCATTCTGGTTCTCGTTGCCGCCGAGGTCCCGCCACATCCGGGCTTTGGCACCCTTGTCCAAGAATCCCCCCGACTGCGAGCCCCATTTCCCGACAACCCAGGACCATAGCAATGCCTCCCTATGTCGCTCGACGACAAAGTGCGACGCGAGGAAGATCGTGTTGATCTCGTATTCGCCGGGCACGTCGTGCGAGCCGCGGAAGTGCGACCGGGGCGTGTTGGCGTATTCGCGCCCAAACGCCAGCGCGGCCTCGTGCATTAGTGGCAGCGAGAGCGCCCGCGCGTTATGCTGCATGTAGGGGCGCTTCCTGATACCAAATCGACGATCTGGAGGAGCAGATGAGATGAGTCCCAGGGGACGCAAATCGTGCAAGAACGGTGTAAGACGTGCCTAGCAACTGCGCACTCCAGCGCAATGACCGCCATTCGCCGTTGCCATCCACAAATCCGCGCGCGTCGCCGTCGACCATCAGGTCGCTCTGCATTCTGAACACCGGGCCATAAAGTGCAGTGTGAAACGCAGATGGGGGCGCGGGGAGGAGCATGAACTGGTCGTCGTTGAGTGCAACACTGCAGTCGAACGGGCGCAAGTCAGACGATTGGAAAGCCCGAGGAAATTGCTCATTCACGCACATGTTCTCGGACACTATATCGGGGTCAAGATGGGCCAGCTGCGACTCGACGGCCATGCTTAAAGTGATGGATTCTCGTCAGATTTAGGCTGAGCAGCGACATGAACACCGACCTATTGAAGCTGGGGAAGACATCCTCCAGCCAAGAAGCGACATCTTCGACCTCTGACGAGGGTTCCGTGAAGCGAAAGAGCTGAGTATCTATGGCGCTTCCCGTCAGTTATGTTTCATCTGGAAAAGGACGGCGGACCATGGTGCAGTCGTATCGCCGACTGGCTCTGCTGGACGGCCAGTCCCGCCTCGTCCACGACAGGCGGGAACGTGTGGCTGGCACACGAGACGTCCAACCACTGCGGCACCAGGCCCAGGCGGAGAGTCGATGCATGAGGGGCAGGCACGTCCGCCGCGACGACATGAATTGTGGGGTTGGGCCACGTCCTGGTCGCCTGCTGCACCGAGCGGATCGAGTAGCGCAATTCGCCGTGTTCTCGGAATCGGGCTTCTGACGTGCGGTAACCCTTCTGTTGGTTGAGAGATGACTTTCGGGACTCAAAATGTAATGGGTCACTGCAATGGTGTCACTCTAGAGGAACGAATGAAAGGCACAAGCCGAGAGACGACGCACGAGCCGTTGACCCAGACGTAGACCAGGTCGATCACCGAGTCCTGCACCATGTCGTGTCGACACGGCGAGCCCCACAGCCCGGTGGCGACCCAATGCTCCAGACACTCGTACGAAAACGCGTCGTGCGCTTTTATCCGCCGCACGGTCTGGTCGGCGAAGGACTCAGCCGGCGTAGGCACGAGGAACGGGCGGTAGACAGCAGACCCGTGACGGAGCGGGGGGAGCTCAGGTACCGCCACTTTGAGCTTCGGCTTGCTGACTGCTGACCCATCGGACTGGTCTTGAATGAGCGCCGGGGTGGGCGTTGGTGCAGGCTGGTCGGACTGGAGCTCAGTCGCGTCGTGTGGAACAACCGGCACGCCCTGCGGCTCGTAAAACAGCCAAGACTCGGAGAAGCGGCCGCTCAGAATAATCCAGAAGTATGTGAGAGAGAGAGCGACGATAATCAAGACGTTCCTGCATCGCGGGGGAGTGAGCAGTTCCCAGAGAATAAACGAGGGCTTGAGATGAATGAAGGGGCTGGTAGAGGTCATGGGCCGGTCCGGGGACCCTTCCCGGCGGTCGACCAAGTATTTAGAGGCCTAGCGAATCTGTAGGCTGTCCGCGCACGAACAGCTGATGACGACAACTGACGAGAGTATTTTCCGTGTATCGGATCCGGGAAAAGCCAGAGCGGGAGAGAGAGATATGGGGATCCGACGCCCCGGAGACGGGTTTGTGGGTATAAAGGTCGACAATCTCCCGGGTGTAACATCTCGTGCCAGAACGTAATGGACAAAGGATATAAATAGCCGCTCGTCTATTCTCACCTGCTGCGCACACCGACAATCTGATCGCATCAGTCGAGCTTTGATCCCTGCTTCGAAACGTACGTACGGGATAGGTGGTCTTTCAGCTGTTTTGCTCCACAGGATGTTCGTATACGGAAGCAAAGAACGCCAAGAAAAAATTAGGATTTCGACGTTGACACTGCTTTTGAAACTGCGCAACCTGGGATAGCGATCTGCGTGTGCTATTTCTGTTCGTCTATTGATATCGTTTCCGGTCGTGTGCCTCGCTGACAGGAGCTCTAAAGTCTCGCGATTGCGCAGTCGGTATCCAGCCAATCCTGCAGAAGATCTGCGCGTCTGTGTCGGATTTACTGACGCCGAATCGCTCCGAAGAAGTCCCAGAAATACCAGCCTGACTCACCCTCGGAGTTTCCCGTTTCATGGCTCTGTAGCGTAGGGTCTGAAGCTGCTCAAAAGAGGCAAGCATGGTTTTGTTTGCCATTAATTACGATGTTCAGTAAGTGTTGAATTTCAGTAGTATCCCCGGGATGCAGCTCGGCTGTCCCGGAACGTTCCAGATCATTAGATAATTGTCTTTAGTCATATACCAGTAAATAGAAGAATATTCTAGATTACTAGTATTACTACTATATAACTAAGCTTGTATGTAGTGTACGGGCATCAGTTTGCCCTAAAGCAATTCAAGTTCAATTCTCATTGCTATTGCAAACCTACACTACAATTATCTAATCGACCCTTCGACCCATTTTCCCCAACACAAACTGATCTCGGTTCACGTCACCGATAACCCGACTATCCCCACATGGCAGACACCATCACGGCCAATGCATTTCGGATCGAGCCGCTTGCCGGTTCATCAAACTATGGAGCGTGGAAAGTCCAGATGATGGACATTCTAACAGAACAGAATCTTGATGATCATGTCGACGATTCCGTTACGCCCCCAGATGATTCCGAAGCATCGAAGAAGAAGGTCTGGATCAAAAATGATCGCCGAGCCCTTTCATCGATCAGACTCCGTGTTGCCCCAGCTGTCGTTCAGCACGTCCAGGGGGAGACCACTGCTCTAGGTGCCTGGCAAATGCTGTCACACCTATTTGAGCTTAAAGGCCAGATGGGCCTAGTCCTCGCGCGCCACAAGTTCTACAGTACCCGCGCTAACCCCGAAGAACCGCTTGAGCCGCACATCAAATTGATGCGACAGATCCAGGGAGAGCTGACATCGCTTGGTCACACGGTTGATGATGCTGACTTTGCTGTCACACTTCTCAGCTCCCTTAGTAGTCAATGGGACTCATTTATTCGTGCTGCACTTGCTTCCCCCACTGCCCCAACCTCCAAAACCACCATCTCCTCAATTCTCACAGAGGAAGCCCGCCGAAACAATCATCCTGCTGATGCTGGTGAAATTGCGCTTACTGTACGCACTGCCACCCGTCACATCAACCGCTTCGTCCCGAAGAACCATGCCATCACCCCTTCCAATTCCCACACACGCCCGGCTAACTCCGCTACCTGCCATAAATGCGGCGGCAGAGGTCATTTTGCACGCGTTTGCCCAACACGCGACAGTGATGACAAAGAGGGAGAGAGCAATCAAAATGGTGCTCATTTCTTCACAGAATCCGATCTGGTGGACAACGACGATGATTATGCCTTCTGAGGCACCCCCCGAAAATTTCCGACAACTTCTTTGATTGACATGACATGATGTGAAGTGATTTAGCGTGTCGCGGCAGTAGGGTGTGAAGGGCAAAGTGCCGGTCCACACTGGGCACTGTCAAGCATGGGGCAAATCAGGGCCACAAATATTTCTCGAGTTTTTTCTTTTGTTTTTCTGTTGTGCTCCGGTCCAGCCACGCTGAGGGAGAGTGTTGAATTTCAGTAGTATCCCCGGGATGCAGCTCGGCTGTCCCGGAACGTTCCAGATCATTAGATAATTGTCTTTAGTCATATACCAGTAAATAGAAGAATATTCTAGATTACTAGTATTACTACTATATAACTAAGCTTGTATGTAGTGTACGGGCATCAGTTTGCCCTAAAGCAATTCAAGTTCAATTCTCATTGCTATTGCAAACCTACACTACAATTATCTAATCGACCCTTCGACCCATTTTCCCCAACAGTAAGTACACTAGCTCAGCGATGAGAGTCATATATGTATGTAGTCAGAATAAGTGGCCTTGTCTCATCAGGCAGCCTTGATGCTGGATCGGGAATCAGCCGGATAGGTCAGAAAAGTAGTTAGAGATAAGTTACGTACGCAGCAGCCTTGACGGTACCGCTCGACAACGGTGCCGGAGTCTTGGCCGACGAGGACGCACAGCTCAAGCCCGCACGCCGGTCCAGTCCGAGATCTCGCTCAGCCATGCTTGCAGTCAGTTGCGAGATCGCGTAGAGGGAGCGTCTCTGGACTGCGGAAGAACCAAAGCATTTCTGACAATGATCATCTTCAATGATGCAAATCGATAACTCCGTGATGGGAATTACCTTCAAGATAACAAAGCTCTTGTGGAAGAGCGAGCTTTGGACATTCTGCTTGAACAACCCAAAGAAACTGCCTGTTGCTCCAACGTTGACATCGATCCCAGCATCGACCTGCATAGAGACAGCCGTGAGCATGAGGGGTCAAATCTGATGTTGGTTCTATCATGACGAACCTCGAAACAGCCTCCAAAGTCGGCTGTCGCAGCACGCTCGTCGATTTCCGAGAGCTCCTGGTGCTCACGGGCCTTCTTGCCGGTAGCCTGGGCCGTCAGCGCGGTGCTGGCCTTGGCGCTGGCTGTCGCCTCCAGCGACAATTTGAGCGCGGCGTTGGCATCCATCGCCAGGAATACTTCCGCCGAGGCGATGCCGTTCAGAGCGGACACGCCGAGATTCAGCGATGGGATGAGGTGCGCTGTAGCGGATCCGGTCGCTTTGACCGACGGGCTCGCAGATAACGTGAGGGCTGATGCAACTCGTCAATTCACGTGAAATTGACGAATAGTAGATCCCCTACGCGTGTCGCCGAGCGAGAGCGAGTTACCGCCAGGTGCAGCCGAAGAGCCAGCGGGGAAGGCAAGCTGCGCGTTCACGACGTTGAGGTTGATTCCGACATTAAGGTCCGTTTGGACGTCGAATGCGGCCGTGAGCTCGGCGTCGACTTGGAACGACGGACCAACGGTCAGGATCCCAGGAAGATCGAATCCTAGCATTTTTCATGAGATTTTCACGGGATTTCAGGCCGAATTACTGAGAATGCCTACCTGGAATCCCGATGTTTACCAGGGGGAGTTTTCCGGAATCAATGGTTCCCTAGAAAGAAAGAAGTTAATCTGTGCTGCGGAATGTCACCGCTTGGACTCACTGTAACATCAGCCGTAAGATCCAGTGTTCCCTGGACATTTCCGTTCAGAGTCGCGATGACGGAAAAGTCTGTGAGCTTGGCGGGGTTGAACGGACTGCGGATGCGCCAAGAGAGAGAAAATCACAGACTTTGGGAGGAAGGATCGTCCCGTGCGCGGCAACAACAACCCCAGCGGTGGCATGCGCATTGGCATTCAGGTCAGCCTTGAGGGAAGCAGTGACTGGGCCACATTTGACGGATTTGTCAAGGAGAACAACGTCTTTGTTAAAGTTGATGGGTGGCAGGTTGAAATTCTTGTTGGCCGAAACGGAGTTGTGCAGGATCGCTGCGGGTTGCTGGGTCAGTGCAGTCTTTTTAATCCGGATCGGGGACTTCTCACATGAGACGGATTGCTTGATAGAGCTGAACAAGCCGCGCTGGGCCAGGCGAGAGTCCCGTCTCGAGGGAGGCGAAAGCGGAGTCGCAGACGCGGCACCAGGGAAGTTGGCTCCTTGGATCGCGATATTCACATTGCCAGATCTGAAAGGAACGTCAATTGCGTTCAACAGAAAAGCACGGGCGATGCGACTCACTTGCTGTGATCTACCGCGGCAAAGTTTGTGTCAAACGAGATAGCATGAACCTGCTGTTTCGTAGATCCACGTCGCACGATGCGGCTGGCAATATGACGGGGTATGTTCTGGTTCTTGGCGACAGAGACCTTGGAGATTCGTGCAAATGCATTCCCTCCACACTGGAAAGAATCGTTTTAGCCAAGTCCGCGGATGAGCTCCGCAGACTCACGCTTTCAGGCAGCCGGATGATCTTGTGCACTGCGCCAGCACCGCTGAACAGGTGTCCGCAGTGCGCGCTCGACGCGTCTGTGTTGCAGACGATCCGGATGTTCTGTGAGGTAGCGTGCGGATCACACCCCAGGATCTCCCAGTTGGCCGCGGTGGTGATGTCACTGATAGCATCCGTGTTCGAACTCCACTGAGTTTGGTTCATTAGGAAAGGCAGTGCTGTACTAAGCTGAGTCGCAGACGTACGACGGTGACAGTGCCAGACGCCTGGGAGGAGTTCGTTGCAGGCAGATCTGGTGTCGTTTGAGGACATTGGTCTGAGACCACAGCGTGTAAACGTACCATAAGAGCAGGTACCGCCGACACAGGGTACAGCCCAGTTGTTGGCCGCAGTCACCAAGGACGCGAAGGGTAGAAGGAGAACGAAAGATAGCATGGTCGATTTCGAGAGTGTGTGTTGCGTAAGTCAAATAAACGAATGAATGAGCCGTCCCGGGCAGATAGATTAAAGCAAAGTTAGAGAAAAGCGAATAGAGGAAGAGAACGAAGAGAACGAAGGAAGAAGAGTGATGTCGGTTTGGGGCATCCACGGCCTGCTATATAGCACGCCGCCATGTGAGGATACGGATCGAACAGCATGCAGGCTGGGGCTCGTAGTCGCGTTTGCGACTTCAAAGCACCGCTCGGTGACAGAGCACGCTGATCAATTGTCCGGAGCGTTCGAGCTGTCAAACGTGTGGGTGCACCTATGCGCAATTTTGTTCTGGGAGTGCCGCCATTTCAAGATCGTAGAGCCTCTATATTGTCAGAAACGAGCTGTAGGATTCACCGACTCCGCACAGTCTGGTGTAATCCATTGAGGAAGGATGTAGCATATCAAAGTCATTGCCAAGCCCAAGATTCTTTCAGCGGATCTGTCCAAGTCTTGTATTGAATCTGACGGCGCGAGAGACCTGCACACAGCTTTAGCATGGCGGACCTGGTTGTTTGCGTCTCAGCCTGGCGGGACTTGATTCAATGCGGTCCTGCCAGAAAGCTGAACAGGATATGGATTAGGTAAACAAGTAAAAGCAGGACACATGCCGAGAATGCGCCGCCACGAGAGATTATGTAAGTCTTCACATGATCCAAGCCTCGGAGAGCGTCACTCAAGTACAACATATACAACATGCAAGCTCAGATTGATTGCTTTTCTGCGCCGAGGCGTGAGGTTGAAGGTAAGTCTCATAAGGTCGGAGAGTAGTTCAGTCTTCTTAACTCGATTCACGCGGTGAAGGAGCGGTACAGAAGATCAGCGAGAGATACAAGATTATTCTAGCCCAAAAGTGCCTCCTCAGAGATTCATTTTTTAAAGAGTCGAACCGCAAGTTCCAATCAGAGCAACTCCTATCGGTGCTCATCGCACGCTCATCGTTCAGTCGATATGATGAATGATCAGATTAAGTGATCCCGGACAGCACCCGCCGATCTTCCCTCTGCCTCTTGACTTGATGATTGCATTACTCTTCTCACGGATTTGTGATAACATTCAGCTTTGTGCACAAAAACTTCTGGTCCATTCTTGTGCTGGCCCCCGAAAGCGACCCAGCGCTATGCCAAGGGACTGGATGGTCCTCGTGAGGGCCCATTGCCCACATTTGTCCGCGATTGTCTCGCCTCGCCAAGCACACTCTACCGATTGTGGTCAACAAAAAGCTCTAAATCAAAGAATCTGTGCGCTCCGGTCCATGCTCGCGCTTTGATACTCGGTTTGGCCCCGCCTAGTGTATAAATGCGAGCAAGCTCAGAGACGGGCACTCCACCGCCCACGACCGACAATGTACGCTGAGCCAACGACTTCGCACGAATCTACGGATTTCTACGCTGTGTACAACCCTTGGGGTAGTGTATGTGCCTCCCGCTCTAGCTTTGTACAAATCGACGCTGACCGCCATATCACATACTATCTAGAGTCACGGCAGATATCTTCCGTCTCCGCCCGAAGTACATGTTTGCGGACTCCCCGGGTGTACCATGTCCTTCGACCTCGCCAGCGACCTCGCAGAGCACCAGGGTGAATACCATAGAATCGTAGACGTGGACGAGAAACGACTATGGAGGGACACGCTCACCCTGTGCGGCGAATCCACTCCTTCTCGAACTCATGACTGACCTAAATATACCCCACGCAGTGCGGAGAAATCGAAACTGCCCTGCGGATACTGTCCGAAGCGCTTGTCCACGCGGAGTTTGCTCTTCGACCATCGGCGGAGCGTCCACAGGCTCAAGATCAAGACGAAGCGCGAGCGGTGCAGAGCGCGATGGGAGGCCATGCTCGCACAGTCGTGGCGCGACGGGGCCTTTGTCGGGAGAGACCAGGACGCGCCGCTCTGCGATCCCTTTGCGTCGGTTCTGCCGAATGGGCCCGGTCAGGCTGTGGTAGACGATACAGCTGCTGACCTGCAGGCTATGCGGATCAACAAGCCAGGACAGCGGCCCGTGAAGCCATGCATCGGGATTTCGTGTTTTGGCTGCTCCAGCCCTGACCATGTTGGTCCCGTCGCTTCATCAAGCAAGTCCACCAGTCCGTTTCAGCTGCTACAATGGCCGGCGTTAGCCGCGGGTCCTTCTCAGCGCTGGGAGACACTCTTCTAGACTCGGGCCGAGGAGCATCTTCGGACAGCCGACATGCCGCGGAGAGTGAAGCAGGGCAATTCCGATGGAGACATCCACCTCCCGTTCATCTCCGATCTCCTCAATGAAAACAGATCGTAGTGTACATTGTGAAACCATTGATGTGATTATCCGTAGTGTACATTGTGAAACCATTGATGTGATTATCCGTGTCCAACAATCACGTATGTTTAACTCGGAGAGGTGGTCCGATATCAGCCGACATCTCAACTTTGATTCAAGGAGTCGTGACATTGGATAGACGGTTGCTAGTGGGGACCAACTACGAATGTCGAATTCCACATGAGTGTCACTGTCGTAGCTTACAGAAGATCTGCTGCTGTTCAGACAAGAAAGGTGATGGCCCTAGATTGCCACCCGCATACACACAGCACCAGGCGACAACGAAAGCCCGGGTGTGTCCAGGAGGCTAGTGAAACGAGAGTGTGCAAAGGCAATTGGGCACTGTCAAAGGGTGTCAGCCCTCACTTGTTACGATAGGATCATTGATGGGATCAGCTTTGACTTCGCACACCTCCTCCATGTCAACCGAATGCGAAGATTATTCGAAGGGCAGGCTCGCGTTCTGCCTCAAGCGCGTCTTCAGAAAACTCTTGAATTATCTGGAGCTCCCCTTGAATCCATGTGCCGACCGATCTTGCCAGTGTCCCAGGCCAGGACTCACCCAAAGAACAACGGCTTCTGCGATGTGTCTGCACGGGACAGCGTTTCAGCTCTCTAACAGTCAAGCTGGCACAACACCTATCACGCATAAAGTCGTTAATCTGATCGCATCGAATGCACCTACGACTGGAGAAGTCGGGATATCCTTACCACGCTGACGGAACGTCATCGACGCACGGCCGCCCGAACGATTGCTGCATGTGCACAGTCAAGACGAGACAGGGCAATTATCCGGGCCAGACCCTCTCACTGATGTCCTATGATGCTCTCATTTCGATGCGCGGCTCAGAGGTTGCTTAAATTGAGGGCCCTCGAGCCGGGATGAATCATCGTTCCGAGTTTCGTTTTCCTTTCGTCTCGTCTCGCCTCGTCTCTCTCTTCCTCAATGCCGTCGCCTACACGCATCTTCGCCCTCACGGCACTCTTCCTCTGTAATGTGTCCCACTGCTGAACGCTTGAGCTTTTTTGCTGACGACCAACGCACCGATAGCTGCTACTGCAAGCACCATCATCCCCCCCGGCCACCGAGGCACCTTCAACCAAAGCATCGCGGACCCTCCTCCTGCGCCGCAGACCCAATCCAGCACGATCATCAACACCACGACTCTGGTGCAGCCCCAGAAGGGCGGCCCGGCGGTCCATGATCTGCCCAGTGCTAATGTCCCGCCCGTGACCGTGACCGCTCTCGACGGAACCGTGACCAATGCCACTGTCGCGGACGCCGTGAAGCTGAGCGCCGACTCGCATAGCACTCGCCGTAGCTACAACACCCGCCGCGGAAACGTCGGACGGTTCAACCGCCGCGAAGATGGATTCAAAGAGATCTTCGCTGGACTGCCCGCTGGACAGAAGGACGCGTCGATCGAAGGGCTGGCATATCTGACGTACACTGTTGTGCCCAACTCGACGTACAACGTGGATGCTTGCCTGAAATGGGCTCAAGGCATTCCCGGTGCTGGTGAGTGCTGAAAGTGGGATTGTGATATTGAAGCCGGGCTGACCAGATGGAATCACTAGTCTTTGTCAACCTCTACTACGAATTCAACAACTACCTCCTCGACTTTGTCTTCAGCGAAAAGTCGAACCTCAAGTGCGCTGCCTACGGTGACATCCACAACGCTACCGAGAAGACCAACTTTGGCGGCCAGGCATCTTACCCGACTGTGCGTGTTTTTCTTTCTGCGGTACATCCGTCACAAGACTGACTGGCCCCCTTCAGGTTGCATGCCAGACCACTCCTCTGACGCGCATCGAGCAGAGCAGCGGATGGGGCCTTGACAGCCTCATTGAGCCTGACTCTCCCGAGGGCTACGACCCCGTCTTTGGGCCCACCAACGGCGCCAACAACGCTCCTGGCGTGAGTATCTCTTTCTGAATCACATCTGATCGAAGTAACATGTCACACGCAGTACATGGGCTTTGCATTCCTCGACCAATACGACGTGAACGCCTGTGCTCAGCTCTGCAATGGCCGCGGAGCTGACCCTGTCGGCGGAGGATGCGCCTACTTCAACATCTGGCGTGCGGTCGTCAGCGGTGTCCCGACCACATACACCTGCTCGATGGTATGTCCATTCGATCATGCTGGCTGCGCTCGCTCAGACGTTCGCAGTACTATCTCGTTGCCGATGGATCGACAGCTGTCAACTACGGCCAGGGCGATCTCGTCGTGACCTACTCCCGCGGCTACAAGCGCAAGTCTCTGCTCCCCGACGGCGGTTTCGAGGGCTACACCGGCTGCACCGACTTCTGCTTCACGCTCTCCGACTCGAACTGGGTCGGCACCAGCGCCTCGGGCGGCTCCAACGACGCGACGATATTCCACTTCAACGCGTACGCTCAAACTGGCAATTCCGTCGCTCTGCTCGGGGCCGCTTTTGGCGACAATGCTGAGGCTGGAACGCTCGCCCCGGCTCAGGCCCTCTCGACCAAGTCGGGTGTGTCTTATGTCATCCAGTGCTTCATGAATTCAGCGTTCTCGGCTCCGTCGCTGGAGGCCTCTGCGCATGTCGATATCACCTGGAACGGCCAGGTCGTCGGCACGTTCTCGGGCTACAGCGCCGGGTGGAAGTTTGTCGAGGCCACCGCAACGGGAACTGGCAGTGACAAGCTCGCTTTCGTCGGTGGATCTGCGCCCGCATGGATCTTCATCGATAACTGCTTCGTTTACGAGGGCACCAACGCTTAGACGCATTCAACCGTTTCTTACGATAGACGGCATTGACGACCTGACCCGATCTATGTACTACTCATAGAGATCCACTATCTTTACCACCATCCACTCTCTTTATCTCTGTTGCTACACTCATCTACACTCTAATCTGGGACTCGGGGGCTGCGTATGACCTACTCTGTAGTTTTCGAACATCTTACTGGAACAAGTCTGGTTGGACGAGCGAGCTATCGCCCGTCAAATGCCTTGAGGCGTGATGAATCGTCGAGGTCCGCTTTGGCTCGTGAAGATTACCGTGTGATCACAGTCCAAACTCGTCCATTTCAGGCGCCAGACTTGCCGGACCCTCCCCTGCCCTCCCTCAGAGCATGAACTTACCGGCAACTACAGATACGAAAAAAGCCGCGCCAGAAGAGGTCGGAGGGCGGTTCCGGAACCCGGCGAGGGGATTTGTACGGATAAGATTCCGATTCGGGGCCTCGAGGCTTCAGCTTCAAACAGTTACGACACCCCCTGACGTGTCATCTCGGAGCACAGCGTTAACCGGCGTTGACAAGCAGCTGGGACAGCGACAGACTGTAGTGAGCCACTCGCACTGGCATCTATCCGAATCGGAAAACGGCGCGCATAACTGATAGATCAGGCGGACGGTGGTAAAACGGATGTTCTGGGTCCAGGCTGGCCCAGGCTCCGAGGTGGCGCTCGCTCGAAGAGGATGTGAGTGGCAAGAGCGTACACATGATGTATGTACTGCCAGTGAGCACTCTTCATGGGTACCGTCGTCCATTAGGGTCAAGGTCTGTTTTAGGAAAGTGTGATCATGATTCGATGTTGGGGTCCAACCAGTGATCTCCAGTCACACCGTGACCCCTCCCTGATGTGTCATTCGGCGTTGCTCATCGCCCTCGCCATCTCTTCATCTCGTCGTTATCTCTCGCGTCGCGCTTGGACCGGTGCACTCCGTGGGTTCTTTGCATGTACAGTGCGCAAAGGCACCTCTCTTTAATAGTGATTTGATGAAAATAAATTTTTGTACATTTTTGTAGTTTTTTATAGGAAGGAAACGCCCAAATGAACGCGACCACAAAACTCATTTTCCCCACGGTGTGTCACTTGTTCGGCGATCGGAATTCCAAAATGTACCTCCGCGGATTGATTTGGATCGCTTGAAACAGCAGGCGGCTGTTCGTAGGAAGGCCACACAGCGTGGGGCAGAGATATCTGTTGTCAATCCTGATGCGGAGAGTCTGGTCAATGATCCAAGCTAAGTACAATCCGGATCCCAGCCAATACATAGCGCAAATGAACCGGAGACTACCGGAGATCATTGCACGTGCCAACAAGGCTGTGCTTAGCCCTACCTGAAATGATAGTTGACTCGACCATTAGGGTTTGTGTCCCTTGTTCGCATGCAAATTTCACCTGCTTCATACGTTGCACTCCAATAATCGCCGTACAACAGGAAAAAACTGGCTCTGCAGTCTGAAAGCACTAGAAGCCGCTATCGCCATCAACGACGACGACAACACTTACTACACCGAAATATCACCCGATATCACCTTACTAAGCAGATATGAGGCATATGGTCACGGAGTGCCAGGACCCCCAGCACTTAGTCAGATCCTGGCATCAAGATAGACCTTGACCCTAATGGACGACGGTATCATGGGTTCATTGAAACGTGCGAGATGCCGGGAAGCTAAAACACGGTGCCTCGCCATCGCCTTGCCTTTAATTACGTGGGAGGAAATGAAGGGCGAGATGCAGGATCAACCCCGTCAAGTAGCCTCGTATGACGAGCTTCAAGCGATTTCGAAGCGGCGGGATGGATGGGAGACGGTCACGTTTGATGGATCAGGTTATTTGGTCAGCCGATCACAATCCGCTAACAGTCGCAAGAGTGCTTGTACTTGTACTTACTTGTACCTGCGCACGAAGCTGCTTCCCTGTCGTGTATATCACGGCCCCTCTTTCCACCTCCCACCCCGCACCCTTCCCCTCTTCTCACCCCGCACGCCCTGATTCCGTGTAAACTCTTTCAAAGTTTCGCACATCGCAGTGATCACCACTAGGCCTCCCCCGCCTGATCACGATCCACCCTCCCGGAGCTTGTAACCACTCTTGCACTCACCCAATTACACGACCGACTATGATTCGCTTCGACTCCTTGTCACCGGAGGTCATGCAGGCGATGTGCACGCCCATGCACGAGATCCTCCCGCGTGCGGCGATGCCCTCGCCCCCGCCTCACCCTCCACGGGCTTCCGGCGCGCTCTATCTTGGCTCGCTCTCCGCCGTCAACGACCACGCGCTGCTCCGCCAACACGGTGTCACGCATCTCGTGCAGGCGATCGAGGCCTCGTGGGCGCCCCCATGCCGCCCGGAGGACGGCTTCAGCGCTTATTCGATTGATATACGAGATAAAGAGACCGTCGACATCGCCCCCTACCTCGAGGCCGCGTGCATCTGGATTGAGAAGGCGCTGAGCAGGGGCGAGGGCGTACTCGTGCACTGCCAACAGGTGGGCGATGCCAACGCGCATGCCACCGAACTGTTCTGACCGATAACGCAGGGTGTCTCCCGTTCGCCGTCCATCATCATTGCGTACCTCATCCGTAATCACGGCATGAGCTATGATGCTGCCTTGGCACATGTCAAGCGGAGACGTGCTTGTGCGAAGCCCAATCCCGGGTTCGCACGGGCGCTCATGGAGTGGGAGGCCATGTGGAAAGCACGACCTGGGATGATGCGGAGGTTTACCGCGTAGAGCGTTCCATGCCGGTCAGTCACGCGTTCTTGCTGCTCCGTGAAGAGGCTGATGCTTTCCTGCAGCTGTATCAGTATCACCTCTCTAGCGAGGCCCCGTTCGGCCTTGTTCAAAAGCCTTTACCAACACGTTCATTCGCTCTTGTTTCTTCTTTTTGGGCATTCCGATCGACATCCAGCCACCATTCGTCCCCCATCCTTCGTCCTCTTACCCTCATCATCCTTTGGAATCCTTCTACTTTCTATTGTACCTCACGTATCTATGACCGCTAGTTACACACAGCCGGACTTTCGCTCATTATCCGTCATTCTTCCCACGTAACCCTCACCCCTGCTCCACGGCATCTCCTTCCGTTCCCTCGCACGGCATCCGCTGTCGCACCTCATCCCTCGGCCATCCCCCCGCATCTGGGCCTCGTCCATTTGCCTTTAGCCTCGATTGCAGTCGGCGAAGGTTCCTCGAGCTCAGGCACCCCCGGATCAGTCGCTGGCCAGCCTGCGAAGCATCCCAAGGATCATTCATCGCGTCATCTTTCGGGCCCGATGGACATGATCTCATCTGTGTCGTTGGCAGACCTGTGATGATTGGGTACGCAACGTTGGAGCTCGTCCATCTCCGTCCTAGATCTCCTACCTCCGTTTCACCTCTCCCCTGCTCCATCTACATGCGACATACCTACCACTACACTACACACACCCTCGCCCCCTCCACCCTCCTCGCTCTGTTTTACTCGCTTGTCGCACCCTTTGGGCTGTTGTTGTCATTTTCTGGATCTCCTTTAAACTATCTTCCTGCTGATCTTATTTCGGCCGGCCTGTAACAGGCATTTTAACTCTGCGTGAGAGAAAGAGGGATATCCGATTCCTTGGATCACGCTGTATTGCCTAAGCTGTTCTGGGGACCTCATGTCGGTATCGATCAGTGAAGGAACCCTCGTCTATAGACTACGAACTCGTGTGTGTGAGTAATTCGCTGGCCACAATATTTTACAGAGCCATGGCTACTTCTCACATGAAGACCGCGTATCCTGTACAATATACATCTGTAGTGACACGAACTCTGCATGAAACGACGCATCAGCGTCTCACCCTAACCACTTCTCGCCGAGAGATATATTGCGTTCCCCAGCACCATGGAAGCCGCAGGTTCCTACTTCTTCAGAAACTGGGGATTCTTCACACGATCCATCGCTTGTTGCGACCAGTCGCCACACCGGCCGCCGCGAGTCCAGATTGTTTTGAACCGCAGTGAAGTTGATATCATTGATGATGCGCCGCTTGCACCCGAAGCACCTGCTTCTCGCTCTACTGCTCCGTGTCCGTGTTCAACTACGATGATCCTCAATATGGGTTCCAATGGCTCAAGTTCCCAGCACAGAAACTGCCCATGGTCCGAAACATTGCAGGTTGGCGCATCGAGGGCAGCGCCTTATCGATATTCCGCACCGTACTCCGGCTTTACGGCAGGCTTGCGGCTGGGTAGTGAAAGCTTCGGAAAGGGAAGCAGCTGAGGCCTTGCAGTCAGGACATGGATCCGGTACCGGTGACTCGGTCCTGATTCAGAAGACCGGGGATGCGTGCAATGGGGCTTTCCTGGGTTATCTCTGGACGCCAAAAAGGTCTGCTCCATGACCGAAGTCCGAAAGAATTTGATCTTGAGTCCGCGTGGCTCGAAACGAGGCCCTGTCTGCGATGATAGATGTGGTGATAACTACAGTCGGATACCCACTCTCGTGCGTTAGATCCACAAAGCCCGACTCAAGCGGTCAATCAGGAAAATGACGAAGCATAACGAGCTGGTAGCCGTCAATACTCCGAGCCTTGACATATGGAATCAAAGCGGAAAGGCCTGCCTTGGCCTGATGCAATTCGCGGCTACCTGAGGAAAGTCACGTGGAACAATGTTCAACTCCTTACGCCAATGCTAATCATTGAGAGGATTGGAATAGTCCTTCAGGTCACGATTATGTCATTTCTTGAAATTTTTTGGCCTCAAGCGTCTTGGTCGTTATCGGTATGCATTCACTACGAAGGCAGGGCCTGGTCTTCCGAGTTGAACATCGCACGTGATAATCAGTTCACGTGACGGCTCTCTCTCTCTCTCTTTCTCTCTGGAGGAAACGATAACAAGGGATCTCCATTGATGCCCGTGGATGTATAGTTACATGTATGTGGGCCATAAATTGAATAAATAATGTCCATCAGTAATGGGACAGTGCAGAAACGTTCAACGTTCGATGGAGACTGGAAGCTGACTCACACCAGCCGCGTCTTCTCCATGGGCTTCTGGTCAGCGTAGCGATAGGTTTGAAGGGTCTGGAATTCCTCAGAGACGGAGGAGAGCCGAGAGAAAGAAAGGCTATACCTCATTTTCCTCCGCAAGTCTCACGTAGCGAGCCCGGTTTCGGGCCAGCTTTGCGCGAAGGCCCATGACAGCAACGAAGCACAGGACAAAGAATGACATAATGCCAAAGGCCAACTGGATACTGGTCTTGCCGGCCGCAGTCTGGATGGCAGCGGCGAGGGCGGGCTGGGTCTCAGCGCTGCTGACACCGCAGACTTGGGCCCATTGCTTGTTGCTGGAGATCGCCGCGCCTTCGGCACGGTAGATGAACTCGGTTAGCGGGACATCCGATCGATGTCCGAATGGGAATACGAGCTTCCAGTCGTCGGCAGCGTTGGTTCCGTTCTTGAATTTGAAACGGAGGAAGTCGCGCGAGTCAGGCGGAGCACCCCGACGCAGCTCGATCGCCAACGCTGAGCCAAAGTTGGCTACAAGACTAGATTAGGCTATGATCAGAAGTTGCACATTGGATCCGGCTCACGAATTCCCTTGAGTTCGGGGTTTTCCTTGATCATTTCTGTTCCGTGGAACAGAGAGATGAAGGGCTGGTACGTAGTCTGTACCACCATGAATTGGAGCGGGTCTCCGTTGAATGCGATCCGCTCCAACGAATTGATAATGGTATGCATCATGGTACGGCCGGCGACTAAGAGGGTTGTGAGCACAAAGCTCACTCATTCATTCGTAAATGACGCACCGTTTCCGACGCCGTCTGCCTGCTCATCTGAAAAAACACCGTCTTGATGCCAGTCGGCCAGCGCACGAGCCTGTTCAATATACGTGGGAGGGAGCCGGTAAGCAAACGTCTGGTTGTACATAAGCTGCGTGCTCAGGAAATCGTGAATCTAGCACGGCAAGTCAGTTCGATTGACGATTTTGGGAGGTCGCTCGTACATTCCACTAAAAACGGCATCAGAACATTCAAGGAAAGATGGCCTAGGCACGCACGATGTTCTCCAGAGTGGTAGTCCGTCCGAAAACAAAGTCGTGGAGATCGCCGAGGAACGGTGCAGCTTCCTTCGCCTTGGCCTTGAACTCGTCCGAAGAGTGGAAAGCAGCAATGTGCTTTTGGAAATTCTGCACAGTAGATAAGTTTCTAAAGAAAAGACCAGCGCAGGTTGGTACTGACAGGGCAATCTGTCCAGCTTTCCATGGAGCGGTCGTTGCCAGGCTCCACAGTTTCCACTGGAGTCCAGATATTATATCCTCTACTGGAAGACATGGATACGGAAACTCACTGGGAACATATTGGTATCCTCCTAGGGGAGCACTGACTGTCGTCCCACTCGCGAGCGTGATCTTGTTCTTGGGGTTGGGCGGGAACAGTCCCTGAAGGAGCGCGATGGCACTGTCGAAGACAACTGCACCTTCGCCTCCTGCCTTCGCACGGACTTTCACCTGCTCGGTGTCGACGAGATCGGGAGAGATCTCCGAAATGAAGGAAGAAGACCCGGGGGTGAGATACGTCTCACGGAGTTGCTCGCCAAGAAGATGAAGCTGGCTCTGCAGCAGTCTTTAGAAAGAACGGGAATCGAAGTCGCTGCAGACTACGCACAACACCAAGAGCTGTCGAATCGGTCAACGCCGGGGCGTACGTCTTCGGGTCTTGATAGTACTCCTCGCGATCGCCGTTTCGTGCAATGACAATAACACCGAGAACTTCAGACATTGCTAGGAGTAGAAGGAAGCTTTGGAAGGGTGGGAAGAATGGCAAGAGGCGAAGAACAGTGAGCTGAAGACGAGCTTTGTGCGCTGTTTTTATATGGGATGGGTTTCGAGAGTCTTGCAGTCAGCCGGTGTGCTGGCTCCCGCGGGGGATTAAATTTCAATGCGCATGCAGCGTGGCTGCAAGACTCTTCACACACATACCGCAGCGCACGAGGCGATTCGTCGTCCTGCGCTGATACGGCGCGACTCGTTGGATGTCGCTGAATCCTCAATATTACAACGCCAATTCATGAGTGCCCCAGGTCGGAGCCTTGAAGCTTGAGGACTCATCGCGCCATTGTCTTCCTCAGCCCAACAACTGAATGAGGCGCGTATCACGTTCGTGAGCCTAAGCTGCATTCACGCTGTTAATGCCCGTCCCACAAATGGTCATCCGGTCGCAGTAACACCACGAGGTGAGCATGTCCTAGGGCACGCGCGAGTAAGCTTGTGAAATAGTGACGACTCTGAGCGATGTGGAGAGTCACAGAGAGTTATCTGGTGCGCAGATGAAATACTCACCGAAAAGACCCTCGAAAGGATCCACTCTGTTGCCCACCAAACTGGAAACCGAGAATTAGCGCTCCACCAGGAGACACTCCGCTCCGGACCTCGAGATTCCCGTGTCATCAGTGGGGAGATTTGATTTGTGCCGCCAGCGCATGCCCTGAGTCAGACCGGTGGCTTTTGTTTCGTTTGAGCTTCAATTCATGTGATGGACAGGCGATCGCCCAGAGTATTCCACAACGAGGATGATATGGGAAGCGACCGAGAGCTGAATGGTTTCTACACGATAGGCGGACGGGTGTGGTGGAAGGGGATGGTGAGCCTCTTATGGAGACAGCCCAGTGACAAAGGCTCAAGCAACTGATGGGCCGTGGCAAAAATCTATCACACTTCCATTGCCCATACTTCAGATTTGGCCGCTCGAGTGAGTCCACAAATGCACACTGGCAATCGCTAGGTCAATAAAATCCAAAACCTGGTGATGTGTGACATCCATGTCGAAGTCTGAAACAACGACCAATGCAAAGAGCACCTCAAAGAAGCCAATGAAAGCCAAGCCAGGTGCTACAAAGCTGAATGCGACATGGAGATTTTCGAGGGATTGAAGACATGTGTTCGAGATCCCCACCATGCTAGCTCCAGGATCCTCCATCGCCGATTTGCAAAGCAACATGATGGCTCGGAATGAGCATAGACACCCGTGCTAGTCGCGTACACGAGTCAGCACTGCCACAAACTCTTCCTTAGTACTATCACTACAATGGGAAAGCTGAATATCGCCCACCACAAATCGTACCATCCCTACCGACGAGACAACATTGAGAAAGTGCGCAGAGATGAAGAAGAGGCTCGGCAACAAGAAGCCAAGGAGGAGGGTCGAATGCTGTTGGCCGTGAGTATGTCGGTCTTCCTGACTGAATCCGATACTAAATGCATCCCAGGACTCGGAAGCTCGGATAGAGCTACTTAGGGAGCGCTCGGGTGGTAAGAAGATGTCTAAGAGAAGGGAGGAAGAGAAGATACTCGAGCAGGCGACCTCACACGGGTCATTGAAGCCTGCTGTGTTACCGACGAGTGGTGGGCACATCAACTTTTTTGAGGACCTCGAGCATGCACGTCCAGCTCCTGTTCTTTCCCAGTCTCTTCTTAATATTAATCCAGAATGCGATCGCTGCCTCTGTACGAACTGCGACGAAGAAGACAGATCCAGTTGAGACCGAGCGTGGTTTCCCGCTTGCCCCGTCTGCGAAAGATCTGAAGCCCTGGTATACGACGAAAGTCGTGGAGAGCAATGACCAGGAGGAAGTTGTTGATGAAAAACGGTCAGCCATCTTACCGATAGGTCGGCCCGTCTGCATGCTCATGTGTCCCAGCAAACGCGACACGGCAAGGAAGTCAATACACGACCCGCTCACTTCTATCACACATCAGCTTGCATCGCGGCATGGCAGCAACACCGCTTCTGGCTCAAGCTCCTACCGGACACGTCCTGTGGCTCGTGCTTCGTCATCGTCGACTCCGCCTGAAGTGCAAGCGCGTTTGTCCCGAGAATCCTCAGAGCGAGAGCGTGCGCAGGCCCTCATCCGCCGAAAGCAGCAAGAGATGCGTGGAAGCCAGACCCCGAGCACTGTACATGGCGGCTATGATGGAGGATATAGCGACGTTTTCAATCGGCGAGAAGTGGACGAAGCTCACAGAAGACGGGATACGGATCATCGCCGAACCTTATGGTAATCCGTATGTCTGTATGAAACGTCAAGTCCTCTTTCCCTATGCGTGCTTATCTGTCGCCAGTCAGTTTGCTCCGTGGAATAACCGTGGCCCCGATCAAAGTCTCCTGAAAAAACATGCTCTCCCCTATCTCCAATGTCTCTTTGCTTCCCCCCTCTCCCATACGACCTCCTACACCCAATTGTCGAGCAAATATGGGACTCGAGGACCTTGTTGCAGTTGTGCCTCGTCTGTAAAGCATTCCATGCAGAAGTGCAGAAGGCTCTATACCGCGAAGTGCACCTCAGCTCGAAAAGCATTCGGATGTTCCATCGCACTATCATCCATCTAGCACCCAAAATACAGCCCTGTGTCCGGACACTGTCGGTCCAGCTGTCCAACTCCTTCACTGAAGTGCATCTGCTGCGCTCAATCCTGCACTCTTTGCCCCAGCTATATGCCCTCGAAATCACCCCTCCGCAAGCGAAGCATTGGGCCCACATCCCCGTCTATGACCGATCGTCACGCATGGTCCCATGGGCGCATCGCGGAGCTGCCCGAATGCTGCACGACTGCCCGTTCCGGCTCAAGGTCTTCCGCAGCGCGTTCCGCATGACCAATCCCGATTTCATCACGTTCCTCGGACAGCAGAGCGAGATCGAGGAGTTGTGGTCTTCTGACATGGCGGGATGTGTGGTCACGCTTCCTGCGACTTTTCTGCCGATGCTGAGGTCCGTCAAGTGCGCCGTCGCATGGATCCAATTTACAGCCGGCAAGGGCCTGGCATCGTCGGGGGCGCTTTCGATGATATCGGATTCCTCGAAAGTGAGACGGGAGTTCTCACAGGAGCGTATAGACATACAGACTCGCTTTGATGTTTTGTTCTGAGATAACTTTCTTAACTCTCTTGACTCTGCCTGTGCTCTAGCCCATATCATTATGAGCTGACACTATGTTTGCATAAGAGATCACGTGCATCAAGACGCCATCAGTCACGTCGGCGGGTAGTCACATTCACAACTCATCTCCTCGCTCCTATTTCTTATGTGTGCGGTCTGCGGAGTGCTATCGAAAGCCAATCAATCTCCACTACTCTGGTACAGGCATAGCCATTAAGTGACTTAAACAACTTGTTGCCGATCTCGAAGTTAAATCTGAGTCTCACATAGTGAACATAATCCTTGCAGTAGTTCATTCGAGAGGAAATCCCGACGGGGGTATCATAATCAACCAACAGCTCATGGGATTTGCTGCGGCACTGCTCAATTTCACTGAATCACCGAGCTCCTACGATGCAACGCACCTCGGGGTCTTTAGCACCCAAATTTCATAACGAAGTCGACAGAGCGGGCAAACTTTCTTGAGCTACAGCGGCAACAATTTTGCCTTGCTAACGCCATCGTCGCCACCGGGAAATCTTGTGGAAGTCGCTCATTCGCGTGAATTACAAGTTTCAACCTTTGCCAGCGAGATGACATAAGCTCGATCTCCCTGCCAACAGACACTGATTGGTGTCAATGATCGGGCAGAACGCATCCATGTCTGGGCCTTCGTCGCCGTACTCTCATCCTCTTCACTCTCATGTCGTCGATTCGGAAAAAGCGGAACTTCAGGGGCCTGCAGCTCCCAACGGCTGCTCTCGACTGTCACGCGCACGATGAGCCAGTTCCCGCACGCGCTGCTCCCGCCGGACCCCGCAGGGGATCGCAACTTCCTTTTGGCCAGGGACCTCTGCAAGGCCAGGATCCACACGGGGGCGCGTCGACGCAGGACGCGAAGGCGACCCTCACAAGCCGTCTGGAAACGCTGGCGAAGGATTCCAATCCCGGGTTCGATGTCAAGAACGACGAGTTCACGACCCTGCAAGAACTGGGATCAGGGAATGGCGGCAGCGTGCTGAAAGTGCAGCATGTCAAAACGGGGACGGTCATGGCTAAGAAGGTGCGCATACTCGACATCGAGCCGCCTCGCAAGATGGATCTCATCCATCTGGCTCTGACCAGGTCGTTTTGATTGACGCGAAGCCGGCAGAGAGGAAGAAAATCCTGCTCGAGCTGCAAATCATGCACGACTGCGACTCGCCCTACATTGTGTCTTCGTACGGCGCCTATCTTGCAGAGCCCAATATCTGCATCTGTATGGAATTCATGGACAAGGGCTCTTTCGACGGAATATACAAGTCGATTGGGGCGATTGACGTGAACGTCGTGGGGAAGGTTGCTGTGTCCGTATTGGAGGGGCTGAGGTATCTGTACGATGTACACCGGATCATTCACCGCGGTCCGTGCACATCCGTCCTGTCGGAGTCCGTAATTGATGTTTACCCAGATATCAAACCCTCGAACATTTTGTGCAACTCGCAAGGAGACATCAAGCTCTGTGACTTTGGTGTTTCCGGGGAACTGATCAATTCGATTGCGAACACCTTTGTTGGCACGTCGATTTACATGAGCGTACGTACGCCAATCTTTCGGGTACTACTTGGGCTTACCTCAGTACAGCCGGAACGCATCCAAGGCGCGGTATATTCTGTGAAGTCAGATATCTGGTCTCTCGGTATCACCCTGCTCGAGCTCATTGTGGGACAATTCCCTTTCTCGGGTTCGTTTTCGGACACGGAGGATGACGACATGGACATCGATCGGCCTGAACCTCCTCCTCCGCCCAAATCAAATCACCGCGACTCACTCCAAATTCCCATGAGCGCAAGTCGGAGAAGGAGGAGGAGCAAAGGTGTATCCTTGCATGGAGGGGGCATGATGTTGAGCATCATCGAACTCATGCACCAGATTGTCAACGAGCCCTCGCCAACATTGCCACGTGGGAAGTATGGCTCCGCAGCGGAGGACTTCATCGATGCATGCCTAGAAAAAGACATCGAAAGTCGCAAAACACCCGCTCAACTCTTTGTAAGATTTTTTTTTCTAGCATGCGTATTTGTGCTGAGATTTCGATTAGGAATTTGCTTGGATTATTGAGTCTAGGGATAATGGTGTAGATATGAAAGCATGGACCTCCACATTTTAAATCGCATTTATGAAGCCGCTACGATGTAAATATACTGATGTTGTATTGTCTACTACTCCACACACTCGGATCTGATTGCCGCTCAGCCTCCCCATGTCCTTTCATGATCTCCAATGCAAGTGCTTTTCATCTGTCTTTTTCAAAGTAAACTAATTCATACTATTGTTCCCTTTCGCTTCAGTCTATCAGATAACCCACGCGAGCCGCAATTGATCGCCGCGACACAGCCTCTTGAGTGATCCACGCGTCGCCAAGCCGTGCAGGAATTCGATCAGCGCGCAACACTGGCGCCCAACAACCGCGCAGCTGCCAGCGGCACTGCATTCTCCTTCTTCTCTCTCTCCCTCCCGCATGCGAAAGAATGCGACGCATGGCACCCAGGTCTTCTCCGACCAGGAGACCATGGATATGAGGCGGGTGCGAGGAATAGTATGCCGCTCTTCTTGTACGCTTTGGCGCTGGTGGTTGATGGTTTCGACGCGTAGGTGGCTTGCGCCGAGTGTCAGAGGTAATGCTATTGCAGAAGCCAGGTGATTCAAATGGAGACTTGACGGGCAGGACAGGCGAAAGTTGAAATGCGACAAAAAGTTCCCTTGCAGCTCTTGCGGTGGGCGTTATGATCTTATGGTGACGACCGCAGCTAATTCGAGCAGTGCGCAGAGGACGAGCAAGTATATGTCCTACTGGTATGCTTTTTCTTCTGGAGCAAACGTATCAGGTGCTCAGGTGATCCAGGGGACTCTGGCCCAATAGGACGCGGGAGACGGTGCGTTTGTTCTCACGCGTTATGATATCTTGAATTTCAACTTCAGGCACAGAATCATCCACTCTGCCTCGTCCGATCTTAATTTCCACCTCAATGCCATGCGAGAGCGAATACGGGAACTCGAAGAAGCTATCGCGACGTGTATCAAGGATTATAGAGACACGACCGACAGTGTAGGTTCCGCGCTGAACCCTTTGCTGCGGAAAGATGTGTCGCTCGACCAGCAAGCAGACGCCAAGTCAATATCACCGCCGAAAAGCGATACAGCGGAGCTGGCTGACAGTTTTGGTGCCATGGCATTAAGCGATGCGGGAACACATCGGTACTTTGGACCTACAGCAGGCACCGCAGTGAGTAGTATAGACATTTTAAGGATTGTTGACTCTGATTTGATCTGCCTTGAGGCTCTGCTTTCGGTTGGTGGAATCTTTCCGAACATTACTCTATTCCTACATCTGATTATGTTCGACAGGCTCAGGGAACTGCTGGTGGTGACCGCGGCGAGTACACCTACTCGTTCGCAGAGGTTATGAATGCATTCCCCCTTACGAATCTGCCGGTCCCGACCTGGAACAAAACGGCTTCGATGGGTATCCTACTTGCGCAACTGCCCGATGAACCTCGTGCGTGGGCGCTCTTCGACATCTACTGCGCGGCCGCGTCGTGGTATGGCCGGCCGATAATGCCTGACGAATTACGAGAGCTGGTGACTATGGTCTACTCACCAGACACGAATTTTCATGGGCTGTCCCCACACGCTTTGGCCATGGTTTTTCTTGCGTTTGCCTCTGCCACACTAGCGGATTTGGCGCTGCCAGCGTATAGCGTTCAGGCGGACGCGTATTTCGATCTTGGCCGGGCAGCAATGACACTCCTCGATGTTTCTGTGTCGAGAGAGTTGTATACCATTCAAGCATTGCTCATGGTTGGCTTGTATTACGGGACGGGAAGCCCCAGGTATAGTTTAGATGCGTCTGTCACAGCCGTATCTATGGCCGCATGTTTAGCTCAGGCGGTGAGTGGATATAATTATCGAAAAGTTGAGGTTGCCTACTATGTTTAATTCAGCTGGGTCTTCGTATGTCTTCCTCCAATCTCCTGGCTCCGCCATGGCCGATATCCACCCTAGATCGAGAGAAATCACACGCTGCATTTGAAGACAAGACCGCAGAGAGAAGACGAGTGGGAGACTTCGCTTCTCCCGCGGCCATCATCTGACTGGCAACTGGACAGGCTCTATTCTGGGAGGTTCACTCGCTCGAATCGTACTGTGTGCGCGGATTTCGTGTGACCCACAGACGTCGTGTGATACAATCTCTCTCAGGGTCTGTCTTTCGCACGTCCATTAACAATCATACCCTCGGACATCACGTGTGAGTTTCCGGCGGACACCGACCAGTCCATGGACGCGGATGGGATGCCGATACCTGGATGTCAGTTTAACATTTCATTTGCCAAAATCGACCCTGAATTCTCAATGCAGTCATGCGTACGCGGTGGTTATTCACGAAAGAGGTGTGTATTCAACAGCGTGAGACCGTCCTTTTTTTTCTTGGTTGATGGCTGCCCACTCCAGGTCACAGCGCCCTTGGCGCTTGCTTTCACTCGGACAGTCGCGCCCAGCTACGATGAGATTCTCGAACTTGACAAACGACTAAGGCATTTTATCGAGAAGGCGCCCTTTCCCCACTACGAGATGAGCGGCGGTTCGGCCTCCTACCTCGGGTACATTCGGGCGCATATGATCCCTCGATTGTCCCATAACTGTCAGATTGGATTCATTCTTCCGGAAACAAAGCTGACAAACGAGCAGTAATCATTTACATACATCGGTCGTCATTCGTCAAGGCAATCAAGCACAACCCTACTAATCCCCTCGATTCTCCGTATGCAGCGTCCTTTTTGGCAGCCTATCGTGGCGCAGATTCGATGATTAAGGCGGACATGCGGTTCTTGGAGGCATATCCAGAATACATCCACCGGTGGTGGCCGTTCTGGAAAGCCGGTAAGCTGGGTTTGTCTAACCAACATCCTATTGACGCAGACAATATCAGTGACAAACTCGGCTGTGAGTTCCTAGCCACTTCGCTTTCGCTGGGCTCCTGATTGTTCGCTTCCGTTTTTCCGGCCTAGTTTATCCTCGCTTCCGTCGCTGCCAAGTGTCCGAAGCACCTGTTGGCTCCCGTAGCACTCGCAGATCTCCTGACCACCGTCGAGTTGATAGAACGGGCGTCAAAGCACTGTGTCGTAGTTACTGGAGCTTTAGTACGTTCTTTTTCTTCGTCCGCATCTGGGCACCGTCTGATTGACGATAGACCGTCCTTCATCGTCTCCGAAATAAAGCAGCGGTTGCATTTGCCGCCGCTAATGATATCCCGGTGCCTGTTCTGGCTGACGTCGACCTGAATGATCTCGCGGACGACACTGACTTTGAGCTGATCGGGGGTTCTCGGACCATGGTCGATAGCGCGACTCTCCCGAAACGCCAAATTCAATCTACCGCGGACTTGTCGCGTGCTTCCAGCCCGACTCAGGCGCAGATAATGTGGGAACCGCCGATATCCCCAGTGACTCAGCAGCGGCTGTGGGACTGGGAATGGGAGCAGGCTCTTTCGGGAACGATAGTGGATCCTCTTCGGGTCGATGGACATCTGGCCTCGGGATTGTATCCGGACTCGACGCTAGGGGCGGCGGAAACCGCGCAAGAAGTCAAGCTGGGTTACGCGTGGGAGAACCTGGATGCATACATGATTGCGCTCACACGGCAGTAGCTCCAGGCGTTGGCTAGATAAGCCCCGATCATCGACGGTAGCTGGTGCGGGCCAAAATAGATCATCCTACTAGCTGTCGATGACGTTTAAGTATCTTGCATGCATCATGTCCGCTCAAGTATGCAGACGTGACAGCACCGAATCCTCACACGTTACTCATCGCATTTCCAGATGGCCACCACCAGAAATCACCCCGGTTTTCATGAATTACCGTGATACTGGTCTGACATGTCCAATTAACGGGGTTCTCTTCAGATCAGTGCGGCGCCGAGCAACTCAAAATTTGTTATCGCAAGTGACAGTCATTTCCATCTCCATGTTTGGCCCTGCGCAGGTTCCTGATTGTAAGACAGTGGCTGGGCCTGAGAGATCTGCACATTGAGTTGAATGGAGCGACGGATTGATCCGGGGCTCCGAGCAATGCGATCCTCTTTTGCAGGTTCCAAGAATGCTAGCCAGAAAGTGGGATCCGTGCCAAACTCATGATTGGGGGGCTCCATGCTCCAGTGGCTGGCAGGTTGGAGCTCCGAACTCCGAAAGCATCGTTTACGGAAGCAGATAAGCACTGGCTGTGGCGAAACAGGTATCTCCGGCACGCGAGTTTCGGTCCTGCTGCTGTCATCCATGCTGTCCCCGAGCCCGGTTTACAAAGGCTGTTCGCTTCACAAGTGTCTCATACAAAGCCATCATGACGATTTCACCCTGCAGCAGTACCAGTTCCTTGCCCATGGCGAAGACAGCGCGCACACCCATTCCAAAACTACAGCTCTTCATTCTCGTTTCTATCCAGTTCGCAGAGCCCATCACCGGTGCGACTGAATGGTTTCTCCGCGGGGATTTGACCTGAGCTTCCTGCAGCTCTCGTTATCTACCCCTTCGTCGTCTCGTTGGTGCGCGACACCGGGATCACGCGAGGGGACGACAACCGCACAGGATATTACGCTGGACTACTGGTGAGCTGGTCTCTCGGGCTCTCTTCGTTGAGGGCCATTGACTCATTATATTTCAGGAATCAGTGTTCTTCCTCGGGGAGGGCCTCACTGCCTTCCACTTTGGCCGACTTGCAGATGCGTATGGACGACGGCCTGTGCTTCTCCTCGCCCCTCTGGGATTGGCTTTGGCGACGCTCGGATGCGGCCTAACAAAATCCTTTTGGGTCCTATTCTTCTTCCGTTGCGCACAGGGGATCTTCAACGGGAACATCGGAGTCTCCAAAACTGTCATGAACGAGGCAAGATTGCACTGTCCCATGATTCTCTACGCAGCACTCACCGTTACCCCAGATTTCGGACCCCACAAACGCCGCCGATATGTACTCCATGATTCCTCTCATGTGGAGCGCTGGCGTAACTTCTGCGTGAGTCTTTGCTTTGTCTTTTGGACTCCCGTCTAAGCTTCAAGAACAGGCCGTTCATCGGTGGCGTACTGGAGCACCCCGCAACAAAATGGCCCAACACTATGGGCAAGATCGAGTTTCTGAGGAACAATCCATATTTCTTGCCCTGCGCCGCGGCCTCCGCCATCGCGCTATTCTCTTTCATTGTCGGCTTCATCGGTCTTCGCGAGGTGAGTTGTGCGCTTGTGTTTGGATTTCAGTGCTCACCGTCTTAAACAGACTTTGCCGTCTCTTGTGAAGAACAAAAAGAAACGTTGCGCCGAAGCCCCGCGAGAGACGGACCCACTGCTGCCGGCTTCAGACGATTCGGAAAACGAGAGGTTTCTCACTGTTCGTGAGCTGCTGACCGGACCAGTTCTGGTGGCCTTGTCGAATCACGGGATGCTGCAGTTTTGTGATATGGCGTATGAGGCCCTTCTACCATTGGTTCGTCCAACCGAAGTGGCGCGTGCATTAGTCTGATCACGGTACAGGTCTACGCCACCCCAATCGAACACGGCGGTTTTGGATTAAGGTGATCCTCTCTGTGCCTGTTGGCAATGTCTCCGATTCTAACACTCTCTTACAGCCCGTACGACATCGGAAGAATGATGGCAGTTATCGGCATTATAAGCGCGGTTCTCCAAACGTTTGCTGGGGGGCGCATCATTCGCTATTTCGGACCGCGGAAAGTGTTCATCAGCGCATTTTGCGCGCATATCACTGGTCTGGCGGCATATCCGATCATCGGCATACTAATCAGACGCGCGGGCCACATAACACCGGTGGCGGGCGTCGTGCTGGCCCTGCAGCTGGGATGTGGACTGGTCAAGTATTTCGCCTATGGTGCGTAGGATCCAAATCCCGGCGCTCTCCTATTGACCGGCTCACAGCATCAACGCTTATCTTCCTCATGGACTCATCACCGAACAAAGCCAATGTTGGTGCAGTAAATGGACTGGGCCAGATGATCGGCACCCTGCTTCGGAGCCTAGCACCCACATTCAGCTCTTCTCTGTTCGCCGTCTCCGTGAAGTATAACCTTGCTGGGGGATATCTCGGCTACCTCATCATCGCCACGATTGCGCTGTGCTCGGTGGCCAACGCGCTGAGGCTGCCGAAAAGACTCAAGTCGGGCGAGAGGGCATAATTGATACCACTGAGCGCATGATAGCATTCGGCTCATATTCGTCAATGGACTATATTTATAGCAAGAAAACCCCGTTGTTGAGCCATAGAAATAAGCTCTCAATTTTAAAACTTACATTATAATACCCAACATAGGGGTACTCTGAACTGGTCCGTCCTGATCCCATCAACGTGTCAGTCGGACTGTATTGACCGCGGGTGAGGGCTTGCTGCCTGCACTCTGCCAGAATCCTCTCTCTCTCTCCAAAACACCGGTAGTGTATCCCACAGATGGAAGCTCTCTTCGACAACAAGACGAACATCGTTAATGCGCGTATCTGTGCTAAGCTCGACGGCGCGGTTATGTACAGCGTGCAGACCAAGTTCGACTTTCACGGACGCATACTCACCATCCTTCGCGACGAGAACCCCGTGAAAGGAACGAGCGCGGTTGTCGGCGCGATATACTGGAAGGAGAAGAGCTTCGAGATCTCTGGGAAGAGGAAGAAGATCCAGGATCTGAAGCGGTCGGAGGGGAGTCTGTTTCGTAAGTGCGTACAGCGGGATCGGCGCGCATGTATCTCGGGCCTGACGTGGTACGCGCCCAGGAGGAAGTTCTGGCGGTGGTCAGCGAGGAGGACAGAGTACGAGATGTCGTATACGCACGAGGAATGGAAGGTCCGTCACCGACGCGCGTCGTCCTGCCGTTTGCTTGTGACCTTCCGCCAGGCGACCATCGAGGGAGGGAGAGCGACGCTCGCCCGTTTCTGTGTTCCATTCAGACCGCACCTCTTCTCCAAATGTCCACCGCCTGTCGTGCATCTCACATCCACAGCGCTCGCTGAGGACGAGGTGTTCTTGCTGCTGCTTTTCATCTACGTCGAAGTCAAGAGACAGGACACAACCGTGAGCTGGCGTTATTTGGATTGCCGCGCGCTTCGCTGAGATGGACGCGACAGAACACCTCGACCTCGGGTGGAACGGGGAGCTGGTAGCAGAGGCGCGAGCGCAATCCACGTGCTTGCGATGGATCTCGAGAACGGCGGGTGATGGGTGATAGGTTCTTTTCTTCATCTTCAAGACGTAGGTTCACTGGACCTATCTGTATACTTACCATGCATGATTCACGCCCTGTGGAATCTGGGGTCATGACTGCTCTCCGACCGTGCAATCAGCTTGCCCTCAACGAAACACAGTGTATGAACAATAGTATGCGGCGAATGTCTCCGACCGTGGGACTCCGGATCCAATGATGGGTCAGAGCTACTAGGATCTCTTGGAATCTCACACTCAAGATCTGCGGGAACGATAATGAACCTCGCATCTTCCGCATCACCGCTGGCTCGCTTACTATCATTGCCTTCTACACTGCCTGCTGGGGCACTAGAATACCTCACATAAGCACCGAACTGATCTATGTGGCACTTTGTTCATCGCCATCTTGTTCTTCGATGTTTTGTGACCTGCGATCTGCGCTGATTCACGCATACATTGCATTCAGAGCTGGCATGTCGTTAGATCTGTTCCCGCTCCCGAGCTGCTCTCCCCGGTTGCAGTAATTTGATCATCTCATTACTGTGCAGTGAGGGGATGATTCTGCATCTTTGGCTTCCCTTTCTCCCAGTAGGAACCCTCCTACTGCTATCCTTGACCTTTCTCTTCGCCGCTTGATTCTTAGGCCATGTCTTACTCTCCTTCGACTGCAACAAATTCGTCGAGCATCCCCGCCGTCAATTCTGGGGATGAAGCCCATCTCATTGCATTGGTACTGGGTAATCTGATCCCGCTCCATGTCGTCCGTGAGTGGTTGCGCTGGAGGGACTCGGCATCTATTGTGCTCACGAAACCACTCAGTCGTTGGCCTTACCTGGGTGCTGCATGACTATTGTGCGTTCCGGTCCACTATCCTGGGATTTCACTCACTCGCACAAAGTCATCACTCTCGAGGACGAGGTGCGTTTGTGCCCTCAAAATGCGTCGGTTCGACTAGACTCACAGCCTGATAGATCAGATACATCTGGGTGCGCATACTTGAATTCAATCGGGCGATTTATTTAGGCGATATCTAGTCCCAGCGCATGTCACCGAGCAAATTCATGTTTCTCTGGGTGAGTATCAAGTACAGGGGGTCTAGATTACTGATCATCGCATATTCGCCCCCTAGATTCGCTATTACACGTGCGTCTCAACCTGGAACGAGACAGAATTTTCAATGACGATCGGTTTCTAGCATTGCACTGTTGCTCTTCGACGTTGTTCAGATTCATGTCTTCGCGAGACCCGGGATCACATCTCCCAATTTGTATGCCGGGTTCTCAAGCTCACGGTCTGACTGTTGATTGAGTGCAGATGCGTCGCCATGGACACCATAATCCGCGTCGTTGGCGCAGTTTCGTTGTGGAGTGTTGAGATCATCATGCAGCTCCGTGTCTATGCTCTTTATAGCTGCTCGAAACGTGTGCGTCCGCAGCTCAGATATGAAACGAAGCTGATTATTCTTATCTAATCAGGTAGCTGCATTCAACTTGGCGCTCTTCATCGGTTCCATCGCCGGGTTCATGTGGATTTTGATTTTCAACCATTCGCGACGCGCGTCGGTCATCGCCAGCGTCATCCATCTCAATCTCCCTGGGTGCCCGAGTGTGCACTCTGGCATCGAGTGGGCCCAATGGGTGCCAGGTGACCGGCCCGCTTCGATTTTAGAGATCCGGAATTGATCATCACCCGCAGCTACTATATTCGAAGGAGTTCTTTTCGGCTTCGCTCTGTACAAAACATGCGAGTCGACGATTCTGACGCTCAGGCGGGGAGCAGGACTTCCGTTGCATGAGTTGTTATTGCGCGATAATGTTCTTTACTTCTTCGGGTGAGTAAAGTCAACCCAACGTGGACTAAGCACATACAGCTGATTAACGCTCCAGCGTGACTGCGATACTCGTGTTCAACAATGTGAGTCGGCTCCGATATCTCCAGTCTCCTCACTGAGTGACTCGACTCGTACAGTTGATGGTCGTCGTAAGTAGCATCCGTTCATCTCAGTGCCCCATCCTAATAATCGGAGCAGAGCGTGACCCACATTCCTTGGTTTAGCTATGGGTCAGTCTGGGTCTTCCTCTGCAACTTTCGTCCTTACAAAATGTTTCACAGACCATTCCACGCCGCAGTAGGCATCATGACCACGCGCATGCTCATCAATCTGCGCAAAGCGGCCTCAGGCGACGTTGTCAATCTCAACTCCACGGCCCCGAGCACCACCCTCCAGCAGAGCAGAGAAAAATCCCAGGCGGCAGCTCGAGATCAGCAGAGCACTATGTTGTTTGCTCGAGGTGCCGGCGACCCGGATGAATACACGGTCTGACCGAAAGATGTAGAAGGAATGTGTAATGCATGGAGCGGTCTGGGCGAATGTTTGTAATATTTATATGATTTGGAATTTTAATGGGAACGGTTGCGAGTTTGTTTGAAGATAAATAGAGAGCTGAAAGTTCAAAAATAAAAACATGACAAGAGTGGGATTTGAACCCACGCCCCATTGCTGAGATGAGAAACCCGCTGATGCAGGCAAGCCTAACGCTTGAGTCACACTCCTTAGACCACTCGGACATCTTGCCTTGTGGTCACACCGTCCCAGCTAAGATCCAATGCGTTTTTTCTGGCGACAGTCACTTCGATTGGATGAGATATTTCCGAGTCGTTCAGTCTGAGAAACCTTACGAAAAAACACGCAAGCAGGGATGATCTACCAGGTTTCCTCCCTCATTGAAATCATTGATGGCTTCATTCGGGTGACATCGGAAATCATCGTCCGAATGCCAGTGGCCCATGTGTTCTGCTTCTTAGCTTCTGACCACGTCCCCCGTCCTACATTATTCTCTCGCGAATCGAGGTCAAAGCGTTCCATTGAACCTGCTCGAAACACTCCTGTATCCTCCTTTTGAATGCAATACACAGCCCTTGTCAGATACTCACACTGCCTCGCCTCCCATGACTAATGCTCATCCCGTCCTTGGTCCATCATGCCTATATAGTGCTGCGGGCGACCGAGAGGCCCAACTTCCTCGTGTTTGACTGAGAATGAGCGCGCCATCACCATCTGCTGCCACCGGCAGTTCTCCGCTCAATTCGAGCACGACGTTGCTATATGGTCTGTCCATCTGCTCATGGGGCAACTGCACTTCTCATCGGTGATCGCTGCCAGTGTACATTTTCGCGGGCATAGTGGGCATAGTGCTGGCTATCACCGCAATCACCTTCTTCCGAGCGCGAGATGCGCGGCGGAGGGCGATAGCAGACGGCACCTGGGACTTTTCGATGGGGCGCGTCGTGCGAGACCAAATCCCCAGCACACCGCGAATATTTGATCATCACGTTCTTGCTACGATGCACGAGGGTGATATGGGCTGGGACGGGGTTCAGGTGAGAGGATCCAGTCGGGCGCGGCCGGATCTATTCGCGGCTCACGGCTATATACTTGAACGCAGCCAATGACGGCAAAGTATACATCTCAATCATCCACGACGGCAGCACCCCATGCGAGTTTCAAATCGCCGCCCGGTGGGATTCTTCTCAGGATGCCATTGGCTCGGCTCTCGCGACTCCTTCGCCCACACGTCCCGTTTGCGGCACTGCCGATGGAGTCCTTGCCCACTGCCCGTGCTCCGAGCGGCGGGGAGATGCGCATCGCCCATCTGATAGCCATGCCAGAGCCGATGACGAGTACACAGGCCGAAGGGAAGTTTTTGCCGCATCTAGAGATGGGTGTCGTGCATGTCAGGTGCCGTGGGGAATCATGGAGCTCCGTAACTCAAACATGAGTCTGGGGAAACGTGTGAGTTTCATGCCCATTTATAGTAATTCTGTAGGTCATTCCCATGATGGCGAGCTGTGTTGTGGAGGGCATCTGCCAGGAACAAGCCTAAAATAAATATGGATGGTCATGCGGCCTTGTGAAATACCATCGGCTAGAAAGCGTGTGACATCGCATACTACATCCGCCACTTGAGTGCGGGGGGCCAGATCCTGCCAGAGCCTTCACTCACCATGAAAACGGTCACAAGACTCAGGGTCACTTTTAAATACATATCCAGCCGCCATCCCCACTGATCCCCGATCCTTTCCCCACCGTCTATTCCTGCGTTCATGGCCACTCCCGTGTCAAGTAATAGCGCTGCAGCATCCACGAGCAACAGCTCCCCGTGTTCTGGGTCTGGATGCGATCAGCCTTTCGGGTCGAGCTCGACGCTCTATGGTACGTCCGACAGGTCCTGGCGAGTCTTGGTGTAAGCTGACTGACTGTCTTTTAGTGCGCACTGTACTGGTCACGCTCATCGTTCTTGGATTCATCACCGCTTTCGTGGTCATCCGATCCATATTCTTGCGACGGAGAAGGCAGATCGCGATCGCCAATGGGACGTTCGTCCCCGATGACGACCTGAGCCGCTTTTACAAGTCGGAGCCCGTGAGGGAGAAGCCGCAGATGTACGATGTGTATGTGCAGTGGGAGCACGGGGATAGCAAGGACGGCAGATGGGATGTCCTGAGTGTGCGTTTGCTCTGTATCAAGTTGTCCTGCGCCGATAAATTGACGAGCCGTGCAGCCCGTCTCTGCGACGGATGCCGCTTCACTGGCGCAGTATCAGACACAGAAGGCGCGATATACCCAGTCCGCGCGCTCTGTCCAGCCGCGACTGACGAGAAGGCGGAGATTTTGGAACGGAGTGAGGAGGCATCTCATCAACTTCATCCCAATATACAGTTGGTTGCAGCCGACGCCTGCTCCAAGCCGGGTCGACTCTCCGCCACCGCCGACGCCCATCTCCGCGCCCATCCGCACATCGGAGGATCGCAGAATGCTACAACTAGCGATTCTAGTCCGCATGCCAGATCCTCTACACGACACCGAGTCGTTGTCAGATCACTCGTCCCATAGGACCAGTGGCTCCTTCGGAGAAGAGGAGAAGGTGCCGTACTTCGAAGTGGGTTTACTGAATGCCGATCTCGGCGAGACGCGGACTGGGTCAGAATCGTTCCCTGCCAAGGAGGACGTGTAACAGTGTATTTTTAGTGTAACAACATGCAATACCCGGGTCAATGCGAGAGTGTGTCCGAGTCCCAGAGCAGGAAGTTCGTTCTCGAACTTCATTGATCGCCGAGACGGGCGCGTGCAATCATGTTGTAAGTGCCACACAAGCTGTGGGTGACCGCCGGGGCATGTTCGATTGCGTTGAGAGTCTCTTTGAGCGCCGAGACCACAGCATACTTGCTCTTGACGCTCATGTCCGCAACCACATCCGCAAACTTGAATCCGCCCGCGGCAACAGCCGCTGGAGAGACTTTCGGCGTGGTGCCGATGGATGCCCCCAAGTTCTACAGTGCGTGCAGCTCCTTGCGTTTGGCGCCGAGGATGAGACTTGGTGTGCAGCGTACACGTTTATCGTGACCGTCGTCGTGCTCATCTTGATCACCGGGAGCCTCGTCACACGGACATGCATCGGCCGGCGCAGAACAGGCGTCCCAATTGCCAACGGGTCTATGCAGAGGAAACACGCCATCGTCCGACGCAGGCCGAGAATTTTTGACGTGTACTTGGACATGAGTCACGCTGTGGGACAGTGGGAAAGCTTAACAGTGCGTCTTGTGTGGCGATCGAGAGGTCCGCCATCCTAATCAGGCGTCCATGTGAGCAGCCAGTCGGCCTGTCGGACATCTCTTCACCCACCGAAAAAGATGATGAGAAAAGCAATCTGAAGGCAAGGCCGGCCGGCGATGAGAGCAATCGAACATTGCAAGCACCTCTTGTGATGAGGATAAGTAGGGCATTGCAAGTGGGTGCGAACACTCCAAGTTCGGCTACAGATGGCAAAGACATGCAAGTGAGAGCTCCGGAGGCCACTGACAATCTCGGCAAAGTCACGATACAGATTGCAGTTCTGGTACAAATGCCAGAGGAGATCCCGGAGAGGAGTGGTGTCGGATGTTTAGCATTGTACGAGTTCGGTTCGAAGAATGTTGGGGTAGTCGGAGAGCTAGCGAAGCGGAAAGATAATTAGTAGGGGCACCCGGGCAGGGTGCTCACTATAGTGTTCCGCTCGGAGGTCGCTTTGTCTGTGTTTGTACCCATCCATCAACGTGGGAAGTCACATGATGTCCATCTGAATTCGCGATGGCATTCAAGTTGACATTTCAAGTGACAGGGACACGCTTTGCGCAGATCCCGACATTGCCTGACCTTTGCAGAGCAGGAACCCGAGGCCGAGTACGCCACCGGCTGTCACTACTGCTTCGTCTTTGGGTCACTATGAAGACGCACTCAGATGCCCTACCACGGCGACGTGACACTGCGGAACACTAAAGTCCGGCAACTGCGAGATTTACGCTGTAGGGTCGTATGAGTGCGATTCGCGATTCAAATGCAGCGTATTTAGCGCTCTATCTGCGATTGGCTGACGCTCGGTCGCGTCGAGGATCACAGTTCAGCGCGCGCGCACATCATAGCGGTACCGGTCCAGATAGATGCGTGGATCGTCGCCCTTTTCTTCAGCTATCAGCCCACTCAACGTCGCTCTTTCCGCACTCGAGCACCCTATGTCTGGCTCTCCGTCCCTCGTCCTTCCCTCATATCCCATCTCAGGCAATCCCGTCCCCACCCAAGTGCCGACCTACTCGCGCAACCTCCGTCAGGGCGAGGTCCTCCTTCAACGGTCTCCGCCAGGTCGCCGTAGATCAACGAGCGACTACGTGCGGAAATGCGGACGGGAGACCCTCATATTGCACGACCAGCTTGATTCCCGTGCAGACCCCGATGCACCTCAATATGGACCGGGAGCGCAGATGACGGGTACAGTCCTTGTGGAACAACCGGAGTCGGTGCTCAGCGTCGTCGTGCAGGTGATTGTTCTCCTTGGTCCCTCGTTGCGAATCTGAGTTGAATGCGGCTGGGTAGTGCAGGTTCGCGGCAGGATCGAGGCGGCACTGCGCTTGCGAGGATGTGTCACGTTAGTGACGGTGCGAAAGACACAGAAACTGTGGCCCCCCTCTGCTTCGGCTACACAGGGGGATGCGTCCGTGTGTCCTATGCGTCTTCCTTTCCTGTTCGTGCTCCCTGCGCGATTCCAGCGAGCGGAGAGACACGCCATGTATGACCTCCCCCCAACATATGAGGTGTCCCTCCCCGGTTTATCGGCCAAGAGTGGATACCATGTCGTCGTGGTCGTGACGAGGAAAGATCATCTGCATCATCTGCATGTCAGTAACAAGACGTGAGTGGGTTTGTCCACGCGTGCTTTCATTGGTCACATCTTTGTAGAATGTCTGTGCCATTCATGTATGACATCGCATCTCATTTGCGCTCGCCTTCCATGGATGGGAAAGTTGAGTCTGGCCGGGAAGTCGTAATCCCGATCCCTTCCTGCAAATCAGAACCACTCAGTGTCAAAGTGAGCAGGGTCTGCTGTCATGCAAATATTTTCCATTGAGTTCCATCCCAGCTTCTCCTCTCCGAACGGCCCCGCAGCATCTTCCGGGTGGAAGTGCGACTAACAACTCGTTCTGAGCTTCTCCAGCGACTGTTGGGCGTCAGGATTGAATGCACTGTGCAGAGAGAAATTGGTGTCGACTTGCATGGTCGGCCTACAGCGCGAAGGGTGACTCTGGCTGAAGCTGTTCCTCTCCGGCTTGTCGACGCCCCGAGCTCGGGTGGCGGATTAGTGGCTGAGGGATTGGTCTGGATGGGAGAGATTCGTTGCTCCGCGGTCATTCCGCCGTTTGACGCAGGGCTTGTGCGTGTCAGAGTGCGTCAATTGAGTCTTTCTCGAGGCACGTCCGCTGATTGCGCAATGGCACCAGGATTACCTCGTCGTGCATTTGACACCTCCGCCTGCGTTCGCTGCTCAGTACAAATCTGTTGTCCAGTCGATCCCCCTTTGGGAATGAAGGGGAAATTTTGTATTTCCGCAATTGCTACATGCGAATCTCATGTGATCGTGTCTCGAGAATACACTCGCAAGCAAGACGACAGATTGGATTTGCATGCTTGGGATGCTGTGCGGGCTGTCGCCTGGGCCTCGATCAACTTCGATCGCCCCTTTTCGCTGCACCGCTCTGGCCCGTGTCTGAGACAACCGCTTTCGGTCCTTATATAAGGCTCGGGTCTTGTCGATAAACACAGCTTCCTTTTTCTTTTGTTCCCTTTACCCCAATTGTCCACTCCCCCGCCCATACATAGTTTCCACCACGATGCCCGGCGCAACGACACTCCCTATCACCCAACGGACCCGCCTCCTCCGCACCACCCGCAAACTCGAGTCGATCCTCGGCGAGACCATCATCGTCGATCTGTTGCCACTCGTCGACCCCAAGGACATTGCCCGCTGCGCGCCATCCTCGAAAAGACCCGTCCTGTCTGTCCGCGTCCCCAGCGCCTCGTCCGTGGCCGTGCCGAACTCCCCCGCCTCGCCCGCATCGGCATCCTGCCTCACGCCACTGTCCTCCACGACGCCCACATCCGAGACGTTCGCTGGTGTCAACAACACCCGCCGACGTGTGAAGCTCGCTAAGGTCTCCCGCACCCTTGGTGAGAATATCCCCGTGGAGTTGGTCTTCGGGCCCAGTCTACCGAGACGGACGACTCGAGCTCGCAGGGCCTCTTCTCTGTCGCTTGTACATCCAGGCCCGGCATTGAGCTCCGCAGCGAGGCCTCGCGGAATGTCCCTGGTCGCGGGCTCCTCGCCGACGTCGAGCTCATTTGACACGGGGCGGGCCGAGATCTCGGGTCTGCCGACCGCCGATTCTGAACCCTTGATTCCGCGCCTGTGATGCGTTGAAACAGATGCCGCAGAAGAGGGTCGTTAATGTACAGAGCCTCCCCATGATCATGATATGATATACCTATATACAGCAACATCACTCTAATCTTATCATGTATTCTACATCTACCTAGTTTACCGTACTCCAAATCTATGTGTACTATCTCACAAAGCACCCACCAGCGACATCCTCTGGCATGTACAGAGCCAGAGCCATCGGGATCTTTGCTCACAAGGCCTGGCGTGCGATCCCCATCGGCCGAAATGAGCGAACGGCCGCACCATCGCAATCATAACGCGACGATCAGACTTGCCGAAGATGGTTGGAAGAGACGAGAAAGAATCGGCATCGATCCCATTGATCCCCTGCGCAACTTGCCGCATCTCCTTGACTCCCTCTCTATACTTGATTGAGATCCGTTCACAAATCTCCCGGAAAATCGATGGTTGAAGTTCAATATGAGCGGCGGAATCAATCCAGAGAAGATGGAGAGTGAATGAGCGTTTTTTGATTAGTTTTCGTGCGGCTTTCTGTGGAATCGGATCTTCAATCATTCGTCTGCGAAGAGAACATACGAGAAGCTACAACAAATCGATGGTGTGTGTGAAGGCTTCTCATCATCCCTGATTGGCCTTTATGGTTCAATTACAAAGAAGTGTGGGCGTGTCCAGCTCCAGTTCATCCATTATCATTTCGAGGATCGATACCTTACAAATTATTCTCCAGCTCTACCAGCGCCAAAGATCTGGATCCGGATAATTCTTCTTCGGATTCGTATCTCTCTTCGCTGTTGCCTCGACGCTCGTCTTCCAGTGTCGTGTCAATGGTACTAGTAGGCGTGGCACTCTCCGTTACAGCTGTCGCGCTGCATCGGAGCTCGCTACTTGGTCTCACCACGACGTCGGCTGGAACAGACGGCTTCTATGCCGTGTATTCGGGCGAGGGCAGCATCCGCACCGTTGATCACGCCAGCTGACAAGCAGGTGTCTCGTCTTGAACGCCTGTGGGATCGTGCGGACAGGCAGCATTGGTGCGGCGAGGGGCTTCTGGCGGAGCTTCTTATCTTTACGCTGCTTGGAGATGAAACCAAGGCGGTTTCTAATCTGTGCTTTGTTCCACAGGGTACCATAGTATTCCCCGGTTTCAGTGGTAACCCACGTCCAATGATGGCAATTTGTTTTCACTCCATCGTTGATACTCATGTTCGCTTTTCATGTACAGAAACCCGTGAGAAACAGCATAGTCTCAGCAATCCTGGCTTCATGCAAAATCTAGAAGCGTGGACTTGGGGGTGACGCTGGGATCACATGTCCCTTAACGGTAATTGGCCGACGGCGGTGAGTCGTTCAAAACCTACACGAAAGTAAAACTTGACTTTGTATACGGTTATCTTCACAGGCGGCACTGGACGTCGATCTGGCTCTGGGGGGCAAAACATCGTCCTTCAGTCAAAGGAATGTCCTGCCTTCTGTGTTTCGGACCGGATTCCAGAAGATCTGGTTCTTCCAAATGAGCTTGAAGGCGATGTTGTCGTGCGGGGACCAGTCCGGTTCTCCCTCAGTATTTTTCTCCGGCTCACGTACCCACTGTGATTGGTTTCCTCAGGTGTTCTACTTGACATTGCCAGGATCTTATCGTAATTCCGCGTTTGACTGAAGGCGAGCTCAATGACAGGTAGAATGTCGCATTGAAGGAGGCACTCGCCTATGGCCCGTTGACTTCCGAACACGATGCATGCTGCGCTAGACCCTTCATCGTTAGCGTTCGTTCCAAGGTGTGGTGTTCTACAGTATCAGCGAGATTTTCGAGGCTGTAGAAAATTGGTTCAATGAAGGCAAGCAGAAGACGATAATATTCAAGCGAGTCACTTAATTTTCTGGAGCCTAGAGATAATGATCGCGGAAATGTAGCTCCGAATCCATGCGATGCGCTTCTTTCACTCGAACGAGAAGACACCGTAATGGGGTGTGAAGATTAGACCTTTCGTGGGACTGGGAAATGGGCAGTTGACTGCGAGAAGTGTCCACATATTTGCAGATGGCATGTCTCCACTGCAGAAAGATCTCTGGTGCCTTCAAACTTGCATTCCTCAGGTGGCTTCGCGGTCGATCTCCCCCGCAGTCAATCACAGCACTCCAACTAATTTGAATTTGCCGCTGTACGAGCTATTCGGGCTCAATCCGAACACTTCCGGTCTCCTTCGCCTAGAGCCTCAGGTGTCCTTCGCTGTCATTTGAAAAATCCTGAAGGACAGTTGGCAAGTCGACATTCACGCAATCGGAGATCGTGTCCACGGTGGCGTCCTCGATGCATTTACGGCTTCGCTCCAGGGCGTTAATATGTCTGCGGCTCAGCCTAGGCTCTTGCACGCACTGTTAATGACCCCAGCCGATATGGGAAGACTGGGCACATTGGGCGGTAAGCGATCATATGACTTGGACTGCATCCGATGCTCACGCACAGATTTCAGTAATTTCCAGTGTCCAATGCAGTCACGCGTGCGGGGCTTATCTGGAGCTGAGCCGGAGGGTCTCGACTGATCGAAATCCAACCAGGATGGGTGACATGGAGAATGCACAGGATCGTCTAGCATGGGCACGTACAGGGGATGCCGCCACGTGCTGAATCGCTGTTTCCAGGGCCCGGGGACGAGTGAAAGCTTTATATGCCTTCTGACTTGGGCTCGACTTCGCCACTCAGATCACCCTGGCTCAGATTCTTCTCAGTTCAAAATCATGGACCCGATGATGGGATATTACGCTACCGTTACGCGTCTCGCGGTGAAGGAGACGTCCCCCCGCAAGAGCAAAGGATGGTCAGTGACGGTCTGGAATATTGAGGAAGTGCTCAGTCTGAATAACCAACAGGATTCCAAAGCAAATACGAACACGGATCCAGGCGCTTCGGGGTAGGTGCACAGCCAGCCAACTCGAACTGAAATGATTGACACAAGCTTGTCCCAAAGGCATGACTAACGACTCAGCCTATGCAACCATCTCTGAATCCGACACGGAATCGATAGAACTGGGGAAGCGACCCGACTTCGTGGTGTTCTCCCCAGATACAATGCACCGACCCGCGGGGAAGATCACCGAGACGAGGCCGCTGACGACCGCGGTCGACGGTCGGGGGATGTCAGGCAGAAAACTATGAGGACCCAAATAACGAATTTGTCTACGATTACATGCAGGATACGAATACAAGAATGTACAGGGAATACGACTCAGTGAAGTAACTCGACTGGTCTGCTAGACGTCCATGACTCGGGGGCTTCAGCGAGGTATGCAGGCGGAGACGGTTCGTAGGGCGGGCACGGCGCGTCCTTCCATGCGTCCGCCTGCCGTTCCAAGCACAGATATTCGTGCATCAGACGCTGGCGTTCGAGGTCCTCCGAGAAATGCCGTCGCTGACGAGCTTGCCTCCACGAGTTGTGCATGCATTGGAGAGCGCCAATGAGTCCGATGAAGAGGATGATGCAGAGGGCGACTATCGCCGCCTCGAAACGGAAGGACGAGGAGGGACCCGGAGGCGCGAGAAAAGAGTTGACCGTGGAGAGGACGACGGCGGTGGGTATAGGAATGGAGATGTACGATGTCATCGTACGGCGCGCTCCTAGCGTGTGAGTCCAGTAAGTAACTATGGACTCAAAAGTGCGGAACACCACCTACAAGGATCCCCTGAGGATGTTTTGGCGCAGCTTCGCGCAAGTCTGGAGAACCAGTCGGCACCGACAGTATAAGGATAAGGATAAGTGTGTTCTGCACGAGCAGAACGAGAAGGATCGTTCGGGAAAGCGAGGCGAGGGGAGCGAATAAGAAACGGTCAGGAACGAAGGAACGCCGCACCCGCAGCAGACTCCGGGGCGATCTCCGAGCCGAGCCGGAGATGACGGCATGTTCTGGGCCCTGTCAGTGGAAAATCCGGCAACTCCATGGACTGCAATTGATTGCCGGTTGTTCAACTTGCCAAAGGTTGGATACAGCCCAGCTCAGCAGACCCCGTAGGCCCGACGTTGGCAAGCACTTGCGTATCGAAGTCAAACAAATAAATACAGTATCGGATTCCGCTTAACGCAATGTGCGAACATTGAGATGATATTGGCCTGCGGGTGGGATAACAAGAAAGCCTCAGCGGAGAGCACTATTTCACCTTGTGCAGCTGCCAAAAATTCGGCACTTGTAGTTGGAGGTTGATTGTGTCACTCGTGGAACGGGACGTCGTCAACGACTGGCAGGATCGTTTTATGTTTGTCATGTCTCAGCAACGACTAGTAACGAAGGTCTGCGACCGCGGGTGCTGAAGGGCAAGCACGGATCCGGGGGTATTTTTCTTAAATGGCTCGACCACTCTAAACCTCCAGTGCACCTGGTCACGCTTTAAAACTAGGGCCTCGAACGCTCCGACCCTACCGCTTTTTGTCTTGGAATCTCTTGGGAAAGAAATAAAACACGTGGAGGTTGTCAGTGTCATGATCTCCGATCAACGGACCTGCGGTCCGGGGTGGTTCCCATCTACCAAACCAAACAGTGTTCAAATAGATTCGGTCATTGCCACATCCAACGACAATGCCAACAGTCCTCATCGTCGGTGCCACCCGCGGTCTTGGCGACGCGCTCGCGTCTGCGTACTCCGATGCAGGACACACCGTCTATGCCACGTCGCGTTCCGACACCCCACCAACCACTGGAGCTTCGGATGTGACATGGATCCCCTCAATCGACATCGCCTCTGAATCTGCCGGCGAAGCGCTTGCCGCAGCGATTCCCGTGCACGACGTGATCGATATCCTCGTGGTGACTGCGGGGTACTTCGTTAGCGAGACCTTCGACGAACCCAAATGGAGTGAGGAAGTCAAGATGTATACGACGTGCGCGATCGGGCCGCTCTTCGTTGTACAAGGACTCGTCGCCGCAGGCAAGATCCGAACCGCGATTGGCTCTGCAGACAAAGGAGGGAAGGTCGTCCTGGTCAGCTCCGAGTCGGGATCGATTGCACTACGACACGAGAAGGAGGGCGGTGGGAATTACGCGCACCACGCCAGCAAATCTGCCTTGAACATGGTGGGAAAACTCCTCAGTCTTGACTTGAAGGATCGGGGGATTTCCGTTGCGCTTGTTCACGTGCGTCATTTCTGCATGCACACGCATTTATTGCTTAATTTCTGCACTTACTGACCCACAGCCTGGGTTCATGCGCACCGAATTAACACGCAACGTGGGATATGATCAGTACTGGGAGTCTGGCGGTGCTGTATCGCCACAAGAGGCAGCATCCTCACTGATCTCCTTCATCGACACATTCACTATCGAGCAAACAGGCGAGTATTGGGCTCCCCGGGGTGCAAGGTCTGTCATTCCACTTATCACAAGTGGAGAGAACTCACCATGATGAAGGGATATTGGGACGGCACCCGATGTACTTGGCCCCGATGTCGCTGCCAATGAGCCACTGCAGCTGCCGTGGTGATAGCACGGATTTGTCTTCCGCCTGCATACATATCCATTTCCCAGTGTGTACAAGTATCTTTTTCACTTATTTGAAATGCAATCCTATATCTATCAACTTCAAGCATATCTCAACTCATTCGGAACCAAGGAATATGAACGTGGATCGTGATTACAATTACCTAGGAACATTCGAACTGCTCAAACACGTGACTCGATTAGTTCAGAACAATATACCAGCCAACGGCGGCGAAGCATGTCATACCCTAGCCAATGTCCCTCTATGACGGCGATTTGAATATCCCATTCGAAATCTCGTGCAGGCAGGGTGCATCTCCATCCTGCCGAGCCCATAGCGACTCAGTAGATCTTCCGAGATCGAGTTGAACAGGGTCAGACTCTTGACTTTTCCGCTCAGAAATTAGAGTGATACAGTGCCTCGAGAGTTGTGTCAGATTGGACAAAGTTTTTCCTTTCTTCAACCAACGACGGAAAAGTGAGAGATCATTATATTTTGAGCCAATTTGGGCCATTTCGAAAGTGATCGACGTTTTCGGATCACGCACCAATCACGCGACTTGCTCCATTTTTTTTTACCCGTTTAACTTTCTCCTTGTCCCGAAAAAAAGAACAGGAATTTCCCCGCCCGTATCAAAGCTAAACAGCTTTCAAGAGCGGAGAAATTAGAGTTAAGCAATCCAAGGTGGCGGAGGATTCCTGCACTAGATGTCCGTGAGCCTATCCTCCCCCGTTGCTATCAACAAGAGCACATACACAATATGTATGTTGCCTCGAGGAGTCCCGTTCTTCTATGTGACCCTATTTCAATCGACTTGTGACCCCGCCTGCCGAAATTGAAATTGACGGCGGGGGTGTCTTTCATATTTGCATTCGTCCTTTGCTCCCACCCGCTCGAGATTCTCCGCGTCTACACATACATTCGGCCCTGACAGATCTGCCCGTGCACCAGCCGTGTCTATCTCGGGCCCTTTGAATGTGCGTCCCCTTTCTTTTTATCTGTACTTCGCAGCCAGTCTCACACCCCCAAGCCACCGGATGTCTCGATCTTCTCAAGATGGCACTTTTGCACGGTCTCCTCCAACTGGACCACGGAATAACAAGGAAACATGGACCAGACACCCTGCGGAACTTGACTTCCTTTGTCCGACAAGCATAGAGGACACGGAGATCATCGACTATCTTCGCGAACACGTCTTCAGCGTTCCACCTCGTGCACACTCGACGTCGCCATCCGCTTACGATGAGAGAGGAGAGAGTAGCGCGTTCTTTGGTGTTGTGTGTCAAATCAACGGCCAGCGCGTGGAGGTCCAACTACCCGTCCAGTACCGTACCCCTGTCTTATGGGTCGTCGAGTTTCTCTGGACAATGATTCGGTCGAGTCTGACCGCAGAATCGCCTGAGGCGACGTGGCCCGCCGTCAGATACGAGATTTGGCATGTTGCACGGCTGTGCCAGAGTCTCTTGGAGCAAGCCCATCGCGCGAGGGATCTGACGAGTCGTTGGCGCTCTTTGTCTTTCGACCGAGCACTGCGGCGCTACTCGCTCGGCTACTTTCGGTCAGCCAACGAGGACATGAAACAGTTTGAGCGCGTTTTTAGCGAACAAGACTACCAAAAGACGATATCTTGGCTTTTGGTATGTCACTTTCTTGGGGGAAAGGGCCTGGGCAACTGAGAGATTCTTATAGATTGGACCTCCGGGGAATTCGAGAAGCGCAGCAATATCAGGCTGTCCGCTGATCAGCTGTCAGGTGGAGTTTCAGCCGAGGAACTGCAGGCAAGGCTGCAAATCGATCCAGGACCCAGGGCATTCCGCTGGTCAAGTCCAGGGAACTCATATCCTGCAATGAAGGGCAGTCCTTCCTCTACCCCCAAGATTGTGAGCCCATCGTATCTAGCTCCCGACGGCCGTCACTGACCACACAATAAAGACTGCTCGCCCCCCTCGCTACCACCCAAGCGACGATTCCGTGGACAATCGGCGCGTCAAGTCGCGTCGCGGCTCCAGATACGAGGATGCATCTGCATCGCCAGCCGTTTCTAATCGGACGCCACCGGCAAATCTGGGTCTGAGCCCACTTGCGCCGCCAGCTCCAGCTGAGATGGTGGCCCAACCCGTCATGGATCTGTCTCATCATTCTTTTATGCCTCCGCCGATCCAAAGACCTGTGACCACGAGACTGTGCTCTGCTTCTAATGGAGAGCGGACGACCGACCCCCGCAAGCGTTTATCTGGCTACATTTCACTGCCACCAACGGCCCCGTCAAGTCCTGTCGCCTCCACATCTCGGCTTGCGGTCCATTCTGGTGCGGCCCCGCCGATCCCGCCCGAATGTCCGCCCCATTCCGCATTTGTGTGTGCGCCGGAGCGGGCAGGCTTTGCTGTCCCTCGGACCCCAACACCTTCTCGCGGGGACTTTTGGATTGAGCTCATGGGTCCCCTGAGAGCATCCGCCTCTGAAATGATCAAGGCTGAGGATATGGATGACGATCGGATGGCTGTCGATCCGCAGCCCGTGCTCGGCCACATCGACCAACCACTCATCACCCCGCGACAGACACCGGACCGCGTCCATGCTGGGTCGTTCTACCCGTCTCCCTCTCCGGACCATCCGCGCCATCCGCAACGCTCGATGCAGCGAGAGCCGGAATTCGATCTCCAGCTCACCCCAACCACGCCATTTATGGGTACCGACATGGCCGCCTTCGTAAACATCCTCGAATCCATGGGGAAGGAGATGGCGGCGTTGCAATCTCGGGTGGCTTTCTTGGAGCTGCAGGTAGCGGAACAACCTGCTTCCCCAACCCTTAAGAGTTTCCATCAGTTGCGGCATCTGCTCGACAAGATGGAGGAAGACTGAGTCGCAGATCTGTCTATCCGCTCCTCCGTTGTGTGCTGTATATATCTCCATCTATCTTCTACAATACTTACATACTGGTCTGTCCACCGGCTCGAGTTCGAAGCCTTCTTGGCTATTTTAAATCCTTCTTGGCGCATGAGCGCTTGAGCTTTCATCAGTTTCGAATTGTATTCTGGTTTGCTGCGGTCAACTGCGGTCTGCCAAATGATTATCAGCAGGCAAGTATGGCTGGACCCAACTTATTCCTCTTAAACTTGTGTAATTTGCACACTCAGCCTCTCCTCACACACGACTTGCCCACTACTAGATTTCCTGACATGAGTGACTCCACCCCTCTCCTTGCTGATGTGGAAGGTGTCGATTCGCAAGGATCCAGTCTCAAGACCGCCGATGCGACCTCCCAGACCGGCAAACCCGCGTTTAAGTTCGATGCCAGGACGGTCCTGATACTGGGTGAGACCTTTCAGTGTCGTTTCAAGGTGGAATTAACATCCTGTGGTATCAGCGTCTCTCGTCGTGGTCGAAGTCATCTGGACGTTGTTCATCGTAATGATGGCCGCTGCAAGCTGCCCCAGTGAGTCATAATCTCGTCGCAAGAATCTCCATCGAGACTTTCGATAGATATCCTTATGATATTGAGCGTCATTCTCTCGGTGCCTACCGCTCTGTTCTTGGGTCTGCTGTGAGCCACTATCACGAGTGCTGCCCATTGTAGTCGTCTGACCGTCTACCAGTTTATACGCTGGACGCCGGCATCCTATCGCGACACAACTCAATCAGGGTCCATTCTCTTTATCTTTGAGACGGAACATCGACCAAATTTACGTCCTGGTCTTTTTCGGGTCGTTCTGGCTGGGTACGATCCACCCACATCTTGGCACTACAGCTCATTGACTCCGCTTCCAAGTCCTGGCGATTGTCATGTCAATATTCTGGGTTCCGTTTAGCGTTCCGCTCTTTGCCATCGTAGCTCTGTGTAAGTGCTCTGTTGTGGACTTCCCGCCTGTGATGATTCATGTGATCTCTCAGTGTACGGCGCTGCCTTCGCAACTTACAAACGGGCTATCAAGCTGCACGGACGTGATGTTGAGGTTGTGAAGATTGTTCATGTCACAGTCTCCAAGTGGAAGATCGCAGATGTGGGCGGCTACGAGGAGGGCATGATCCAGATTTGAGCGCACGTGATCGCGTTTCCGACGTGACGGACTCGGATAGGTGACCAACAACCTCATCCAGTCTCCAGTGTCTCTCGCTCTTCCTATAAATCTGTTGTACAAGCAATTTATGCTTTACCGCTTCAAATTCCCTCAGAAATCTTCTGTAATCGACCCCACTCGAGCAGCACCGCGGCGAAATAGCAGTCGTTCTGCCTATCGGTCAGCACCCGCTGCGCAAAGAGCATTCCGTTCGCCTGAATCTGGCGTGCTTCTTTATCATGTGCCCGTGCCCACTCGACCTTCTCCACCAGATCCGACAAGTCAATCTTCACGGGGATGTAGTGCTCATAGGGACGCAGCCAGTCGCTGAAGTATTCAGTGAATGCGGTCGCCTGGGGGTCCGGTCAGCCCATTGCCGCCCTATGTGTAGAGGTTATGCAAGCTCGCCTTGAAAACGAGCGACCCGGATCTCAGAAGACCCAGATACCTTCCGGAAAACGTGTTTCCATCGACATCGAGGGCGAACTTGTACTGATACACTTCTTCGCGAGGACTGAAACCGCCTGGGACGAGATACTCGGCGATGATGGGCCCCGCATCGCAGTCGTACTCGGGCTTGCAGTGCTCTGCGTACCACCCCGTCATGCGAGCGTTGATGATATCCGGTCGGGAGGCAGCGATCTTGACGAGCCGGAAGCGGGAAAATTTGTGATAGTTGTCGTTCAAGATGGTCCCTCCGTTCGACGAACCCCGCCAGTCTGGGTCGAGCTTGTGAGTCTCCGTGTCTCCTAGATTCATTTGTCAACTCACATAATTGGGCCTTCTTGTCTTCCCAGGAGATATCGTTCGGGCGGCTGAACTTTCCTGACCACTGCGACGAGTCGTAGTAGTATTGGCCCGGGAACATGATGTCCGCGAAGCAGCTCGAGGTGGTCTTGGTCATGCTGAGGAGCGGATACAAGTCGGTCGTGAAGTCGGAGCTGGAGCTGAAGTTGATGACTGCATTGGGGACAGGTCAGTCAGCCCCTTGTGCAACGTCCTGATTCACTCACACGCAACATCCTCTAGTGCGTCGATTGAGGTCCCCTTCTCGGTCAAGATCGTCCGACACTCGGCACGTTCTTTGAAGAAATCAGAAGTGGGTGCCGGTCGGATGCGGAATGGTTGGGTGTCCGCGATGGCTAGCGCCGTTTTGCGGTTTCTGGGATCTTGGGTGTTGAAGACAACGCGGGGCTCGTCGCGGCCATTGATGAGGAACTCCATATCTGGCAGGACGTCGAGGAACTGGGCCAAGTGTTCAGTGACCGTAGGCAGATGAATTGGGACGAACAAACCTTGGTCAATGTGGCCTTCCATTCGTCATCCCACACCGAGCCTCGATACGTCGGCATCTCGATCGTGCCATTCTCGATCTTGATAGTCACCATCCCCTTTGGGTCCAGCAGCATCTGCCGGATACACTCTCAGCCCGAGTCATTTCCAATTAATCTGCACTTGCTTACTAGGCGCCGTCCCAATTCGACCATTCTCTTGAACTGCACCGGGTCTTCTTTTGCCAACTGGTAGAAGGGCTCGAAATCGCGATGAATCTGGTGGTACTCGTCGACAAGACACTTGTGTTCTTGTGCATAGGCGAACCACTTGTCGAAATTCGGCGGTGGAAGGCGACCATTCCGTAGGCTATAATGGGTTTCTGCCTCCTGGATCGTCTGAGACTGTCGCTGAAACAACTCGTCGATGCGCGTGGCGGCGATGGATTCCGGACTGGCTTCGACTGGTGTGGCCGGACTTGCCCTGTCGAGTGCTGCCACCGAATCCTTGCTGTAATCGAGCTCTATCAGCCACATCGGTTCTGGGCTCCCGACAAATCCCATGTCTTCTGGGAAGCCTGGCTCCGAAGGATAGACATGATAGACGACGACGACCACTACGACGCCCGCCAATATCGTGCAGACGCGGCCCCAGAATGTCATCCTGCTCGTTCGTATCGGCAATAGTGTGACCGGAAGGAGATTGCTCGAGGCCTGGCTGTTGGAGCGTTCTCTGCCGCTGAGATATATCATCGCGAGAAAGCGAACCGGGTGTGCGTGTCTCAGCTATCCGGTCGTGCTTATGAAGGAGAGGGCATGTGGTGTGTCTCATTCAAGTCTCATACTAGCCGCTTAGATTTCTAGTGCGCGCGCTGAGCTGCCAGATATCGTCTGTTCAGGCCATCAACAGACCCCAACGTTACTTGTATTCCATTTCTCATTCAGCGAGAAGCGTCGATATACCCCCATGGAACTGAGAATG